GTCATAACTCTATTATGTCCGCGGCTGAAATGTGAGAACGTTGATTTATTCAGTACCAATACTATTCTATAATCTTTAACGCTAAATATTAAGGCGAAGAAAGAATAACAATTTATTATATATTTTCATGTGATAAAATCTATACATATAATAAAACAATTCATGCAAAAAGTACTTAACTTATTTTTACAATTTTTTTTGTAGTGATAACTTACTATTCGGGACTACCTAGTACAGGCAGTACCTAGAGATGCGACCCGATCCGAGCGAAGCAAGGGTATTACATGAAATTCATTATTTGCTTACTACCTCTTTGATTTTATGCATAAAAAATCTATACATGTGAGTATCTTAAATAATTTTGTGACAGTGCCGAAAAATACGCACTGCCTAATACGCTTCTACATTTATTACATGTTTTATTCACTTAAACGTGGCGAATCACTAAGGTTGACTGACATGCTTTCCAAGATTCTTAGAAAGAAATGGCTATTGCATTCTTTTCTAATTTTTAAAGGAAGTATTGTAAAGACTTTTCTATAGCTAGTTTCCCTTCAGTAGAAAAGTTTTTTTGCTTCATTAGCATTTAGAACAGTGAAAAGAGAATACTTCTGCCTTTACTATTCAATAGCCCAGTTACTGTTTTTTCACAACGCTTCATCTATACTTGACGGTATGATGTACATACACTGCATGCATATTGTACTACACCGTGTATATTATTATGTGATCGGTTTTATTTAAAAAATGTATTATCTAATTATATTAAGAGAGCAATATTTGTATATTTATATATAAATTTATTTCGTGTATCTCGGAAACGGCTCTAACGATTTCGATCAAATTTTGTATTTAGATAAGGTTTTGCTTTTTAAGTTTATCTATATAGGTATATTTTGTGGAAAAATGAAATTTAATATCTTTTCTCAAAAAAAAACACCAAACGTAGCTCGGTCGCCCAGGTACCTGTAATTATTTAGATAGTGCAAAGATAGGTTTAGAGTTAATATTTTGTTTTCAATTTTTTTTTAAATATATGTTGAATTTGATGTCGAATTTTGGTATTTTTATTTGTTTTAACTTAACTTTTATTTTTACAAAATAGGTAATTATGCAGTTTCAATTGTGTTTTATTTATACATTCTTATTACTATTATTATACGACAAAAATTACTTTAAAGAATAGCGCATAAATAAGTAGGTATAAATATAACAAACTGTCGTTTAATGTCTCAACGATCCAAAAAAATATATTTCAAAGATATAATATGTGTTTATTATATACATAGTTCGGTATTTTCTAGACACTCCCTTTACGGGAGTAAAAGTAAAATAAAACGGGCTTAATGTGTTCGTAGTTGTTGAATATGAATAGATTCATGTGCAAAATAGCTAACATACATGTATTATATTATTCCAAAAAACAACTTTAATGAAGTTAACACTCAAAAATTGTAGTAAAATGTGTTTAACTAAAAATGTCGATTCCATTAATAAACACGTTGTAAAATATACTGACTTTTTGTCGTTACGTATAGCAAAGTTATGCATTCAAGATCCCCGATCAATGGGTGGTCGGGAAACAAATTTAACCGACAATTGTAAATCAATTAGAGAGGGTGGCTCCCGGGGTGTAATAGCTACCCTCCACCCACGTGGCTCACCAGGGCCGAAATGGATGTTTTGATAAATATATTTAATAACATAATAGTATTTTCCTAATGCTAATTCTATCTATGCTATAAGAATTTTTTGAATTCTTTGAATTTAGATTATACACAACATTTACAGTACTGTTAATGTCTTTTAATAAAAAACATTTTATTAAAAACTAATTATCACTTCAAAACAGTATTCCAAAAAAGTATTATTAAAAATATTTATTGAATATAAAAAAATTGTTAACATTTAAAATCCTACCCTGAGTGACAGATATTCATAGTGAATCCTCAAGTGCATATTGTGATACGCAACGTGCCCCTTCTAGCGTCGCGCTCTTCATGTCTCAACCAGGTCTATCTTCGAAAATTGGAGAAAGCAGAACACTGGCTTATTCTCAAGTTATACCCTAAACTTAAAATTAATTAACTAACGAACACTTATACGCGTGTCTTAAATATACTTTATGTATGCGATTAATTCAATCAAAGAAATATTAATAACTATTTAAACGTAGGCCTAATAGGGGCGTTTAAATACAAACATTCAAAATCCTGCATCATCATGTACATTTTGCATGAAAGACGATTGCGTATTTGTATCTCAATCACACATGCGTCATTGTACGCATTTTGATACGACTTGGCTTGGCTGTAGACAGTTCAATTTTAATGTTACTTGAACAATATTCTAATTTTTGGGCCAAAAACTGTTTGAATGTTAGGCTACTCATTATCGCCGTACGTCATGTTGTGTTTGTAAAATATGACTTAAGTATATTAATATTTAAAAAATAAGCCATTGTTAGTGCCTTGAGTTGCAATATGTTAGCGTTAAAATCTCTTACACGATCATGCCGACACAGACGACAGAGTTCATTATGGAAGTTGGCAAAGTGGAACTCGGTCAGCGTTAATTCCAAAATTAACTACAAGATTGTTACTGTCATCTAATAGCTCTTATGTGAGCTTTGCTTTAGACTAGAGACAAAACTTTTCAGTAGTAATTGTACATTTCCGTTAGTTTTATAAGGACAATAATGTGTGTAATTTTAATTATTATTCTTATTATTTAACTGTTTTTGATCAATTTCTTATTTTAAATATATTTGTATAAAACATATGTATTGGTGGTAATATATAATTTTTAAAAATATTTTTAGAAATTATCACTACCTATACAGATTTACGTGAGTTATCATTTAGATAATCTAAACAATGTAACATTTCATAATTACACTATACATTATAATGTACCAGGACGAAATAGTAATTATACCATTTAGTGACGTCACATAATTATAGGCGTAGGGTGCATTAGCGGCACAATGCCTGGAGCGCGATCAAAGGGGAGCGCACGATATCAGATAATCTCTGTTTTATGTTGTTACCCTTCGCATATTCTCTATTTTTATTAAAACATGACGATGTCATTTTATAAGTATAAAATCTTTTACAACAAACTAATTATATTTTTTCTTTTATTTAATTGTTTTATATTCTATATGAAGCATTATCGTCGGCCAGTCGTTACTAAATGTGTTTAGTTCGGATCTAGGAGTCGCGTCGCGAGGGAAAGCGTCCTTTCCACTTGGTTATGCCTTTTATGCGACGATTCATTAACGCCTACCGGAGGGGACCCGAACAGATAGCTACATTTATTACTTTTGTCAGCGGAAAAATGAATTTACACATCACGAACTTTCGTTTTATGAATGTTAGATAACATTTCCATAGAATAGCCAGGAAGCGTACTTGAAAGGACAATATAAACCAATATTTTTTTAGAATAAAACATATTATGTTTATTTAATTCTGTCTATAAAAATAAAATACAAAAAATGTTTTATAATATGTTGGCAATAGTATTCAGAACTATAGTTGTTTCTGAAGATACTTTTACTAACAGGAATTTACTGTCTCTCTCTCTCTCTCTATCTCTTTGAAAACAGGTTTTTTTTTCTGAAAAAGATGAGGTTAACTATAAATTCATCTTCACAGTATCTATATCAGTCATTTGGACTTAAGCGAAAGGCTTGTCCGTGATTTTCCGTTATAGTAACTTGAACCTAATCTGTAATAAGTAATAATCAATATTTTACTAATAAATAAAAATTAATTACAACAACGATAATATACGTACATAGTAATGTCGTATATTTACGTTTAAACAAAATTATAACCAGGCAAATAATGAATAGTGACATACTCGTAGAAGGGAGATTCCTAATTCAATTTCGGGCTTTAATGGATATCTGTATTGAGGTAAATATCAAAATACAGGGCTTTAATTTTTTTCTTCAGAACCTAATTGTGTTCATATAGTAGCTTAAAAATGAAATATGACATATAAAATATTAGAATTATAGCAATGGAAAAAATAAAAAAATTGAGGAACAATATAAAATTAATCAAAGAATTCCCTAATATTACAAAGAGGTAAAGTTTATGAGTTTGTGACGTTGTAGGGGGTGATCTCTGGATCTACTGAACCGATTTAGATGAAATTCGGTAAGAAAAGGTTTGAAAGAAGATAGTTTGAGACCCTGGGAAGGGCATAGGATCGGCCTACTTTTTATCCCGGAAATCACCCCTTAAAGGGGTGAAAATGGGGATGACAGTTTGTATTGGGAAGCAAGCTAGGTATGAACCCGAGCGAAGCGAGGGTGTGTCCATAGTTATTTTATATAAGACAAGGAGTGTGTTTGCTATCCATAGTTTTTCTTATATTTCAAATCGAAATAATATAGACAAGTCTACTTAGACAAAAATTACTCTTAAAATTTATTTAGACCTTATCGCTGTAGAATACTTATTTACATGGTGACTATTTATTGGTACGAAAGAAATTGATTTTCATTCATTAGCGTCTGCCTAATAGACTTCAAAACGGTATTAAAATTGTTATAAAGCTATCGAGATGACTATACAATTACCTCTATAACGAGCACTCGAGTTCAGACGCAGGTGCGCACCTGCATGTCTCTCCTATTTGCTATCGGCGCATTTTAATTCCATTTGCTTCTGCCAAGTACGTCCCTACCGATCGTTTTAATTATCGGAAAATAAACGCAAAATATGACTATGGACATCATTTTCAAACAGTACTATCGTTTACAAAATATAAAAATACGTATGACAAAAAGATTTAAGGATTATGTTATATTTACACTTGTTAGTGTTAGGCCGTTTACTAGTATTTAGTTTATTAGTACAAGGTACGTAGGCGAAGACGATGGAGTGTTGAGCATCAAATAAATAATACTGTTGCGAATAAAATATATGTTTAAGGTGCTATAAGGATCAAATGTATAATTATTCAGTTTAATAAACTTGTTACAGAAACACCCAATATGAAAACTTTCACGTGGAACAGAAGGGATATGATCAAATGTACGATGGTGAAGATCTTGAAACACCGCCATCACCAGATCGTCCACCACCAAGACAAATAGGTAAGTGAAATAACAAACTTAACTATTTAAGTTCTTCATTACTCTTAATCAATAGTGAGACATTTTACCGTCAGGTAAGCTACCTGCTTTGAGAATTGTCGACCAAAATGCATTATATCGACATCGACGAAACGAACAACAGATACGTTTCGTAGTTGTATTTAAGCGTTGAAGTTTAATAAATGACAGTAAAGAGTGTACAAAACTTGTCTATAAATACTTTTGCACATGACATTTTTTTTATATCAGATAAATATGTCCGTGCGGAATGTCCATGTTTGAGCGCCCGTTACACCGTAGCGCTACTAGCCTGCTTTGGATTCAGCATTATGTTTGGCATGCGGTGCAACATGAGTATGGCTAAACTTAAGATGACTGAAAAACATGAAGTAAGTTAATTACAACTGTTTATTCTCATACAGTTATTGTATTATTTATTTTGATGGTGGTAAATAAGTAAGAAGTCATTTTTTACCTTAGATTTAAATTCGAGTTTGTTTTCAGACTGCTTCAGGCATTGTTGAAGATTCCCCATTCAATTGGACTGTAGAGGTGGAAGCATCAATCGATTCATCATATTTTGCTGGCTATCTCATTACCCAAGTTCCAGGCGGCTTTTTTGCATCCATGTACCCTGCAAATAAGATATTTGGTGCTGCTATTTTTGCTTCTGCTATATTCAACATGGCAATTCCTGGGGCAATGTCCGTCGGGCCTGTGTCGGTTGTTATTTTAAAAATTGCTCAGGGATTCGTTGAAGTAAGTGATTAGCTCTTGATTTCAATAGTTAATTTGCTAATACATGGTACATTTTGAAACTAGTTTTCATTTATTACGAAATTAGAAAAAAAACGTAAATTTTAGTAATATTGTTACTTTAAAGAATAAAATGTTTACTATAGAAAGATACTTGACCTGATATTTGATGGATATTTATAAACATAATCATTATAACTTATATTAGATAAATATCAAAGATCGGAGGGCTAAATAAATGTGTAACGAGCGTCATGTCACTTAAATTTTGAACATTTGGCATTCAGTTCGTGACGAGGCATGATCAAGCTTATTATCGATGCACAAATTTTGAGCCCCGTTACGAATGTTCGCTGTCACGTTTGGATTGGTTCCCCTATCTTTCCTTACTTAGATATTGTAAATTGTACAAATATACAATTGAGCAGACAGTGCAAGTAATCTATTTTGCTAACAGTCTCTTTGTGATAACATTTCTATAATTTTAACTCAGCGTAAGATTATTTAGAACTGTCCATTATTTTATGGTACATTATATTTAACAAAAAATCTTAATATGTTACATTAATCCACCTCGACTACAGACCAAATCGTTTTTCAAAGTACAAAGCCTCTTTAGGATTATTGAGCCCTCTGTTACCATAGCTACGTATTTATTCGCTTCTACCCGGCTTAGACGAGTCGTGAATGGCATGGTATCCTATTAAATCTTACGGTGAATCATTGAAATATAGAAACGACTGAATAAAATACATTTTATCTCGATAAAAAGATATTATCCATGATAAAAAGCTTTGAAAAATATAATCTTGTTAGTGAAATTGGTACAAATATCGCAAAGAATAAAAACTTTTATTTAGATATTATCTTTCTTGGAAAGCTTGGAATCTCAACCTGGTTACTAACTAGTCAAATTAAATAAGATTTTATTTGTTGTTTTGTGGTTGACAGGGTGTAACATATCCATCTTGTCATGGTATCTGGCGTATGTGGGCACCTCCTTTAGAACGGTCTCGACTGGCAACGCTTGCCTTCTGCGGTACATATGCTGGTATTGTCATTGGCATGCCCCTGTCAGGTCTACTGACGGATTATATCTCGTGGCAATCGCCCTTCTATTTTTATGGAATATCAGGAATTATTTGGTTAGTATAAGTAGTGATTATAAAAATATACACAAGTATTAATTTAATTCAAACAGGATTTATCAAAATCTTCAAGATTCAAAAATATTGTAAAGTTATGTAAAATAATAAATGAAAAATCTTTTCAAGTTCCTTTCACCTGATTTCCTTTAGTATACCATATCAAAAAAGAAATTTTCACTTAAGTCTTTATTTATTTTAATAGGTACTTCCTTTGGCTGTGGTTGGTATTCGAAAGGCCCAGTAAACATCCGCACATTTCAGGAAAAGAGCTAACATATATAGAGCAATCTTTAGGAACTAATACGAATGTTGCTATGCCTTCATTCTGGACAACGCCCTGGAAGGAATTTGCTACTTCCCCCCCTGTATGTTACTTTTATTACCTACTCAAGACCTAGTCTTTACCTACTTATCTTTGCAAATTTAGCTGAATTATCAGGCCGTGTTTATTTTTTCACTAATTTATCTTTTAAGGTATACGCCATCATCGTAGCAAACTTCTGCAGGACGTGGAACTTCTGTCTACTTGTCATTTTTCAATCTTCTTATTTTAAATCACGGTTTAATATGCAAATTACTGAGGTAAGTGCTTAAATAATTAAATAACTTAAAAGTTATCGAGACAAGACTCTTGTGCCAGATGCCTGTAAAAGAAAAAGAAAAATAATAAAAATATTATAAGTTATATTATTTGCATGAATGGGAATCGAACACACTATTACAATTTATTATTTAAGCGTTTTAACATATTTTATTATTTTATATGTAACAGTCTGGATTTGTTGGAGCGATACCTCATTTAATTATGACGTCACTGGTACCTATTGGAGGAATGATGGCTGATTACTTACGAAAAAACAACATAATGACTACAACGAATGTGCGCAAACTTTTCAATTGTGGCGGTTTTGGCTTGGAAGCTTTCTTCTTTGTACTCATTGCATATGCCGATAACAAGGTACGTATCACATATCTATAGGAACTTATGTGAAAGAAATTTATTCAATTACCAAATTGAAAGCTATTTCAAAGTATTTTAAAAGAATTTTGTGATGGGTGAGAATGAATTTTTTAAATATTTGTTTTATTACCTATTTCCTTGTTTTTATATAACTAATGAAAGATCTAAAGCTATAGAACTTTCATTATTTTATAGTCTCATAGCATGACATTATATTTGGAAGAAAAAACTTGCGATTATACAATAATTGCTTATTCTTTTTATAATTTTATTTAAAAAAAATATTTTACATTATTTTAATTTTTAGTACGTGGCAACAATAGAAATGACCTTAGGGGTGGCATGCAGCGGCTTTGCTATTTCTGGATATAACGTCAATCATTTGGACATTGCGCCTCGATACGCTTCTATTCTTATGGGATTGTCTAACGGTATCGGCACCATTGCTGGCTTCATCGTTCCTATTGTCATCGACCACATGACTCAAGAGAAGGTAAAGCATACTCATATTTCATTTTTATATAAATACTAGCGACTCACGCTCTGTTCGCGTTTGTCTCTAGTTAGGTTTTAACATTTAGTATAAAAAATTTCTCAGAGCTGAGATATTTTCCCGCAGTACAAAGTATCCTATACATATAAATTTGACCCGGATTTCGTCAACATCTATCCAGTGGTTTTCTTGTGATGCGTTCCCAGATAGCCAGACAGACAGACAGACAGACAAAAGTTCTTAAAACTATAGATTCGGCCTCTGTATCGATAATAATGACTATTTCAATAAGATTTTCCAAAAACTATTTAATGTACAGATTCAGCTTAGTTACAATTTTATCATATGTATAGATAATATTATTTATCTGTATATGAATAGTTTATTTCTGTATAAATATTATATATTTTAAAATTATCATACACCTTAATGAAGCTAATTGGTCCTATTAATTTTAATTACTTTTCTTGTGAAGATTGTTCTTTTATTTCTTACTCTTCAGACATTTTTTTTAATTTGGTAGGATTGCCGAGATTGCGGAGTTGCTTCTCTCTCTCATATGTATGTCCCACTTTGCCTTGTCGGTTAATTCGTACTTAATATTATAAAAGTGAACGTGTGTTTGTTTGTTTATCCATCCTTCTTTAACGTCGAAACAAAGTGTGAAAGAGAAAAGTATGAAGTGTGTGAAATTTGTGTGGAGATAGTTGGAGGGCTGGAGAGTGACATAGACTACTTTTAACCGTAGGAGATTATCTCTTTCCCACCGGAAAACACGTTATAATACAATCCAAAAATATATTTATGATCAGAATTACTTGAAACTTAGTATTAATGCTCTTTAATACAATTAAATAAATACGTGTTTTAGCATTTTTCGAAATTCATCTCTTAAGGCGATAAAATAGGGGATAAAATGTTGTATGAAACCTACCTTTTTAGAGTTTTTTTTTTGGAGTTTTAGCGCGAGCTAAGCCTTGCTAGTTATTTATGTATTTGTTATTGTATTATCTTGAAAGACATACTCGTATGTCTCTTGCTTTTTAAATATAATGCATAATTTATGAATTTTAAAGTCAATAAATGACTTTATGATTTTTAATTAAAGCCATATAAAAATTCAGTACAAAACTAGTCGTTGATGAGGGTGCAACAATGAATAGCTTATTATATTGAATAGCATTTGAATTCTTTGAAACCTATTCGTGCGTTCTTATCAACTTTGAAGTGACGCTCCCTCGCGAAGCCCTAGGTATTCTTGAGCGAAACAAAAAGGACAGTGGGTCGTGGTTAATTTTAAAAAGGAAATCGAGCTCAGTCGGTGCCGTGGTGTGAATTTGAAATGAGCGGAGTCGGGGTGCGCGATGATGCGTCACGCAGTTACATTACGCGCTGAGCACTTTATTATCGCCGCTCTACGCTACACTGAATCCAACCGGAAATCTCGATATATAGGAACATGAATAGACTTGATATATATATTAATACTTTCTTAGATTTATGCGAATATTTGACAATTTAAATAATGCTAAGCATTCGAAACGTCGGGAACCAAAAATCAAAATAAATTCGCGAAATAATCCGAAAAAATAGTGTTATTTTGATATATATTATTGTGAACTGAAAACACATTAAATGTTTTAGTTAATATTTTTAAAATCCAATTTTGCATAAATGTTTGTATTATGTACTGGCTACTTACCCTGGCTTCGCTAGGGTGCGTCCCATGATACAGGTACATCTATACAGATTAATAAAATTGAAGTGTCTGTTTGTAATGTCAAAATAACAGCGTTTTACTAAATGCATATGAAATTATATACGGTACTTATAAAAAAACACAATTTTTCAGTCAGTCAGTTTGTTCCGGATAATCTCTGAAACGGCTGGACTGATTTTGACCGGACTTTCACTGGAAGATAGCTGATGTTATAGGGACAGGCTAATTTTATTTTAGAAAAAGAATTAGAGTTCCGCTCAAAAAAATTAAAACGTACCTAGGGACGAACCCGAGCGAAGTGAGGGCGAGTCGCTAGTTTTAAATATAAATTGTTACTGCGAGTGCATCTTAGGAGATAGACATATTATGTCTATTGATATTGCAGACTTTTCTGTAGGCCTTTTAAACATACATTTTTCTAGTACATTGTCCTGATGTACCTATCTCTTAAGGTTTAGCTAGCGTTAGTCATGTACTAAGGAGGGCTCGTTAAAACTAGTTATTATGTTTTCCCGTGGGAATTAAATATTTTTCTCTCTCGTATATATATTTTACTGCGGGAAAATATCTCAGCTCCGAGAAATCTATACTAAATGTTAAAACGTACCTGGAGACGAACACGAGCGGAGCGAGGGTATGTTGCTAGTTGATTATAAAATAGTATGTAATAGTAAATATTGAAATATTCTCTGTTTGTATAATTTCTTTTTAAATATTGACTTCTAATTCCGAAACATGTTAAGAATTATTACAAATAATAAATAAAAGGTATAAACATAAATGTTAATTTAATGGAATTTCTTAGTACCCTTAAATCTAATAACTTGTCAAAAATAACTAGGACAATTTAGAAAAGGCGATAACCGAATGGCGCGCAGTGTTTCTTATGGGTGCCACAGTACATTTTATTGGCATTACGATATACGGCATATTCGCTTCGGGTGAACTGCAGCCATGGGCGGAGCCCGCTCCTACGTACGAAACTCCTCTGAAGCCTTTAGACCAGGAAACGACTTTTGTAAGTGATTATTCTATTATATTAGTTCATAAGTATTTTATCTCGTTCTTAATCATTTGTAATAATACATTTATTTACTACGTTTAACCTTAATAAGAATGTAGCAGACAAAAGTTTTATTAACAGGGGTTAAAGTAAGAAATTGGCGTTTAATGTACAACTTTGAGGTACCTGATAATACTTTGAAAAAATCCATGTATAAAATGATTGAGTTCTTTGACATAAAACGGTAATTCAATACTCAGCTCCCTAATAAAATTTGTTAGGGACTATGTCGTTTCAACTTATAAATCATATAATTTTTGAGAGGTAAGTTGTTACATAATAGATTTTTTTTAGTCGGAGAAGCCAAACGAGCCTTTGAAAAATACAGAGCCGCCAGCCTACGGAAGTATCGCTCCGCCGCGTCCTCCGGCGGTGCAACAGCATGTACCCAATAATCCTTTTGTATCAGGGGCACTGTACCAGGCTGAGCCTATACAACCTCCTGCCCAGCCTTATGAGGACCTCACTGACGATGGTACTTACTAAACATCAGGTCTCTTGCTAAGTTGGTCGGTTTTATAATCTTTATATAATAAGCGCAATATACCAGGCTGAGCTCTGACAATCATCCAGCCTTATCAGGATTTCACTGATAAGAATATTCCTTGACCTTTCATTCTTCAAATGCAAAAAATAAATTAATTTAACCTATTATTTTTTTTTTATTTTTTTATACCTATTAATATTAAATAACTTATTTATTTATATTTGTTTAAATTATTAATAACAGTATTTTTTCTTACATGAGCTTTGTTAATATTCGAAATATCTATTGATTTCTTTGTTAATTGGTATAAAGGTGAAAATGCATTTGAAGAATGAATATATTTGCTTGTCGGTGAGTTTCTCATTTTATAGTTAGAATATATAATTGTTCTCGAATTAGCTCGTAAAGTCAAATAGTTCTCTATACTATATTGTTTCCACGTACAAATTTTATGAATACGTTAGCTGTTTACATAATCAAAGGTTTTATTCTGCTTGGTTGAATGAATAAAGTGTACTTGTTATTTTATTTGCTCAATATATTGTACAGATGTATGTATATACTTGCATTGGCATATCAATTAATTAAGTATAATTTTCGTTATTTGGTTTTAACATCAGACTATTATTTATCAATTATCAAAGGACCATTTTTCCGTATGCAGGTGTTTTTTTACAATTTGATTTTATAGACTACTGGAATGCTTGTTAGATTCGGCAATACACAGGTGATATTTTGACTGCATATGGTAAAATGATGCCTGAGATTGAAATGTATTTGAATCGTACTGTCATTAAAACTTGTTACTGTCTCTTGTTGTTGTAAAATGTTTATAAAATATTTACGATATTATTTAATTAATCTAGGATTGTACTTCAAATTGAAATCAAAGTCGTATGTATGATACGAGTAGGAATTATGTCGAAAGTTATCTAAGAAGGGAAGATATGTATTCATTTATAACACAACAAAAATGTTGACGTTAATTTCTTAAACTTTATAGTAAATAGGAAATATTTTTATTTTATAGACATCTTAAGAAACTTATGTTAAGCTTTTATTATTTTTTTAAATTTGGACCCTCTACAAGTTTTAAAGTATTTATTATATTACTTTTATAAGATAAAGCGAATCGGTGGTATATGTCTTATTGTTGTATACTTACAGAATATATACTAATAAACTTATTGGCATGTAAATATTTATTTTTCACATTCAGTTACAATACCTTTGTTTTTCTATCAAAAATATTTAATACATAATATTTCTCATCTTAAATTTCATTTAAAAAATATGCCCAATGAAAGTTCACAGCATACATTGTATATATTATTACAAGTTAGAAACTATACCATAGTACCATATATGTAATGAAGTAAATTTCAAAGTAGGTTTATAGTAATTTTTAATATGATAATAATTTTTTCAAATGTATTTTTTTTATATAAAGTTGTTTTAAATCATATATGTTAAGAATATAAATATAAAAATATAAATAACAATTAATAAGTAAAACTTAAAAACGTATAAATTAACTTTTGGTTAGTTTTGTGGCAGGAAACTAATGAATGAAAATGATAGGTACATAATAACATTAACTAAACCGATAGGTTTTCAAGAGTCATAATGAAGTATCTGCTAATACATTTTTTCGACTGAGTTGACAATAACTGAAAATGCGTATAAATCGTAGTTAGAACTTTGTTTTATTGTCTATCTGTGGTTGACAATAACTTTAGACCAACAGGTTATCGAGACCAAATGCACTCGTTGAAAATCCATATTTTTTTTTAATTAACTGTAGGTATTATTACGTGACATAATAATTGCTCAATATATTTTTTTATTTAAAATTTCAAAAAGATTTTTACGATTTAGCTTTTATTATCACACTGCTTACTATGATTTTAGTAAAAGCAATAAACTTCAGAAGACCACATTGTAGATGAACTGAATTGAAATGAACTAAAATCTTAAAATTGCTATTTAATATAATATTTAGGTTTATTTCAATATTTAGTTCATTAGTATACCTGTAAATAAATTAACGAAAACTTATATGATTTTACGTAGAATCCAATTTAACGTAGACTTATAATGATATATATACGGAATATAAAGAGTTCATTAAAAAGTAATTTAATACTAATAAAAAAAATCGCATAACTCATAAAATAAACGATATGCTTGAAAAAAATACGAAGTTATTTGGACATAAGTGAGAATTATCATGATTATAATCCGGGCTTTTGTTTTTTTTACTTTTCTCATAAATGTAGAAAGTATGTAAAATATTATTAACTTTTGCAAATGGTGTTGAAATTCATCATTTTATGTTCTTAGTTTTTAATATCACAAAGCTGTCTAGTTCATGATCATATTTGTAAAATAATGATTAAAATTTCGGTTACATACTAAAGTCGTTAGATTATTAGATTTAATAATAATGTAATGAGTAAAATGTTATTTTAATGAATCTCTACGCCGTCAATTCTGTGTTGTAAAATAATTGAATTAAATTTCATAAAGAGAGTTATTACTTGAATATGTAAGCGATTTATGTATCATTAACGAAAAATCATATTCATTTGTTTAGTTCCCATTTTCATAAAAATGTATTTTTAAATATTTCCTAGGTTAAAAATTTTAGAGGCATTCTCAGTTAGACAATTACATTTTTTTTAATAACAGAGGCATTGATTGGGAATTCACGTCATGATTAAAATAATTACTTACTATCCATATGGATTAAGGAATGTAAGGTTTGACCTTCATAAGGAGTTAATTTAAAAAGTTTGATTACTTTTACTTGGTCAAAATATTTTCACATTTTATATATTTTATATACAATCATCAGAATGTGTTCACAGAATAACTGTGACATTAGAATAGTTCATAAAATGACACAGGGTTTAGAACAAAATAGGTAGCCAAAATATTTGTCGAAATAGTTATACAAATGGACGTTTTCATATTTTGATGTTTTGTTTTAAATTTTAAAGTGCAGTGTTCTTTTGAAACCTCTTCAAAACTCAATCGACAAATCGAAAAAATAATACTTTTCTTTAAATTAACCATATTTTATTTACTTTAAAAATATTTTTAATCGATAATTTTCACGATGTCCAAAACTATGGCGAAAAGGGTATTGGTCCCCCATACACTCGTTGCATGTGCACTTTGGCTTATATATTTGAAAAAAAGTTGTAACAATATATAACGTAGGTGAATTTAATTAAATACAAAACAAAAAAAAATAAAAAAAAAAATAAAAAAAAAACGCAATAAGTGTGAAACACAATACCTATACTTTAAGTAGGTAGGCATAAGAAGTAATATAACGAATTATTTAATTTTTTAATTTTCGAGATTTTGTAAATACGAGTATCATTTCTTTTTTTATTATTTCATAGCTTAATTTTAGTATGTACTAAACTTAAAATACATTTAATTAGAACCAGCAGTGGGATCAATTGCAATAGTTGTCAAGCCATGATATGTTTTGTCCTAAAAATATTTCAAAACTATGTAGATACATATATCGTGTGTATGTTTAGATAGTAACTAACACTTAAATTCTCTATTCTTTTTTATTTAAATAATATAAAGGCTGCAAAGTTTAGTGTTTTGTGCATACTAAAAAAGTATTCAATTTGAAAGTTTTTATTAGTTTTTTTTAGTATTTAGTTAACGCGAATTATTTACTTACAAACGATGTTTTAATAGTTTTCTCGAAAATTAAGTAACATAAGAAAATGTATATTATGAAGAATTGAGTAAGACAATAATAATTAAGGAATTACATGGGGTGATCTCACTCTATAAGGCTGTGTTGACAATAAAGCTTTTATGAAGCGACCGTAGTGTATAAAAATTTAGGATAAGTATGTAAAAGAATAATATATTACGTGCTTAGTTTCAAATATGTATGGATTAGTACAATAATAAGGACGATAGCTACGAATAACTTTATTTGATTTAGTTGAAAATAGTGATTTTTGTGATTCTTTATTATATGCATAATATTTCTATATTTTGCAGCTTATACTAAAGTAATATGAATTAGCATAAGTATTATATGATGAGGCAGACAATAAACGACAATAAAATGATTGTAGTGTGTAAATATCTTAGAATTCATTAAAGTGAAGATATAATATTTTAAAATATTTATGCTTCATTTTTTTAAATACTCTGTATATATGAGTTATGTATAAAACAAGCTACAGGTAACTTTTTTCGTATTTCATTAGTTATGCTCTCATGCTCGGTTATATACTCTTTAAGTTTAAATTTATTTTGTTTATATAGTTTTTATTACATTTAATTATAAAAAATACATTTATTAAGCAATAATTATAAAGAAAATGATAGTAAGATATAATGCTGTACATAGAATATATTAATAATAATACTTTATTGTAAAATTTCCTAATACTATTGACTTCATGATTATTTTACTTATTTATTGTTGTTACTTAAAGTTAAAAAAAATGATTGAATTAAGCAAACAATGAAGATTCTTTTTCTATTTAACATACCTATTAATTTCTTCTTCTAAGTACCACAATACTTATAGTAACAATAATTTTTTCAAACAATATGAAAATGTTTAGTAAATTGGTAAAATACTTTATATTATATTATAATAAATATATAATAACGTAAGTATTCTTGCAAGAAAGCACTGACTGGTCAATTACTGATTAGACTCATTTTTAGGGATTTGCTTTAAAAGTCCTAAAATTCAATGCTGTAAATAACTTGATGCTTCTTTACGTTTTTTTCATTATTCATTGTAGAGATTCATTCGTTCTCGTTTTATATATTTTATACTAGGATATAAAAATGGTCATTTTTTATTTTATATAGGTATACATATATATTTTTGTTGACGTTTTTCATCTAGCTGAAAATGTTTTATATTATATATAATTTCATCAGTATATTTTTCCAGGCTTTTATTACATATTCTTACATTAATAACATAATAATGTAAATTCATAAACTTCTAGATGTAATAGGTAATTAGATAGAAATATATTTTATTTGTGATCATTAGATTCAAAAAACAAAGTAGCTATATAAATTATTTACGATATTTTTAAAAATAAAATACTAACATATTTAATTCAAATATTGGTTTTTTAAGCATTGTACTAAGCAATGTTCAGTTTCAAACAGGCCTACTGTAAGTTAAATAAATTAATATACAAATTAGGTTAAAATTATGTATTTAATATTTTTATTGCTTGACTTGGCGGTGATGCTCCCAGAGGTTAAATTTGATAAAGTTTGTGTATTTTTTTTCGAAGCTTGGCCTCTTTTTTTAACTTAAGTATATTTTTATTTGCTTTACCTACACGATTTATAAAACTTTATATTGTTATGAATAAATAGTTAAATAAAATAATGATTATTTTACAAAATTCTTCTTTGCAGATATTTTAATTTTCTCGATTCTTTTTATAATTTTACAGTACTATAATATTGTAAAGTAAATAATATTTATGTATGAAAAATAACTGGATATTTATCTAAATTGCAATTTCTGTTGCATTTACTTCAAAAAAACGATAAAGTAACACCAAAAGCATAAAATATACATGTTTTGACTAAAAACACCTAATTAAAAATAATATAATAAATGTAATAAGTATGTATCATATTATTATTAATTTATTTTTATTAAATCAAATAAATTTTCGTTTAATATGAGTAATACAACAAAACTTAGTTTTAATTACTTATTTACTTCACGTAATATGATTACAGATACGAGTACGTACAATTCCGAAAACCGTAGAGGGTTCAGTCATAGTCTATTTCTATAAATACTTAAAACAATCGACACCGATTCTTGTGTTAATAGTAAAAAATGATGATAAAAATGATACAAGATACTCGTACATAGGTATACATTATAAATGAAAACCTGAAACATACAAAGTTTAACATTAATTTAATATTTTTTTAATTATTTTTAGTTATAAATATGTGATTTATACTTAAAAATATTGTGTGACAGTATTTAGTTATTATATTTGTAATGTAAATATTTACAACGAAATGAATACATTATCTTCCCTATATAATATGTTTGGAGATTATTAATTCGTTTTATTTAACTGTTGCCGTTGCTGTGTGATAGGACTTGATGTGTAATTTTATAGTACCTACATACATACCTATGAATGTATATTAGTCCACAGGTGAAAAGACGAGATGTTAAATTGATTTTATTGTTTAGAATTTTGTACAACAATAATACGTATTTGTTATTAATTTATTTCAATATTTCGAAATGAGGCTGTGGTAGACAAGTGGTAACGCGCTCGTTGGTAATACGAATGAAGCTGGTTCAAATCTCAGTTCTCGCACATTTGATATTTTCATGTGAGAATCATTTCACATAATTACCACTTGCCATAAGGTTAAGGAAAACATCGTGAGGAAATGTGTCTGGGTAAACCTACCAAGATTGCGAAAGACAAGTCGCTAACCCGCACTCGGCCTGAGTGGTGGACTATGGGCATATATTATATGTATATGTAGGCTATAGCAGTGGGATGTTATGAAGAGCTGAATACAATATTTCGAAATATAATTTTATATTTAGTACAACAACAATAAAACAACGAAAATATTAATATAAAATATATCATTAAGCATTTTATTTACTAAATGTCTTATTTTATTATTTAGAAAGACCCTTAGTTAACTAATCTCAACTTGTCACCTGTACCTATACTTTTATTGTTTATTGACTTTTATGTACTTATAAAATTGATTCGTGAAATTTCGTGAAATAAAACTAAAATAAATAACTCTAAAATTATTATTTTTAATTTATAAATAAATTACACCCCACCACATTGCCATAATCTAAACACAAATATTATCATATATTAAATAGTAAAAAATAAATTAACGACATAAAATGGCATTTTCGAGATTCAGAGTAACAAAAATAATATTTGCTACTTACCTATAAATTTTTAAATTATAGAAATAAAGCTAAACATATATGGTAACTAAGTGACGCTGTGATTCACCATTTGAAATATTTAAAGTATACATAAATTACATACCTGTACAAAATGTTAAATTAAATAAACATTATATACCTAACAATAATTTATTCGGAAAATAATAATAGTATAAAAATAAAATGTCAATTTATAAAACAAAGTTAATAAGTTCAAAGACAGAGTCGACAAAGCAACAGTTTTATACCTGTTATTTATTTAGCTTGAACGTGCTTATCTCAGGAACTACTAATACGATTTGAAAAATTCTATTTGCATTAGATAGCCCGTTTATTGCGGAAGGCTATAGGCTATATATCATATAATATATAGTATAGACTATCTATTCTATACTAACAGTTAAAACGTACCTAGGGACGAACCCAAGCGAAGCGAAGGTGAGCCGCCAGTATATTATAACAGCAAGCAAACAAGGCAATAAATGCATTATTTAAATATCAAACTTCTATAGTACATAATTTTATACATATGTAACCTTTCCAACATTTCCTGTTTGTTCTTAATAAACAAGGCCAATATTTTGGATTTATTTATGTAGGTATGCATGTTGTTTCGGTTATAATAAAACATTTTGAAAAATTTTGCTTATAAAAAAGGTATTTCTGGCAAAATTTGGATTTTTCATCAGAGAACACCATACGCTGCACGCGCTGCACTGGTTCAATCTATCGTTGATATACCTATAGTTATTTTCATGAAAACTTAAGTAAAAATTCGAGTAATTAATAGCTACAAGGCGTACTCCACACGCTCGATTAGTATGAGGTAGGAACTAAAAACTAAAAAGGATAGGTATGAATAGAGAATTTGCTACTAGTTTTTATTATTAATCAACTATAAGGTGAGACCGATCTTAGCCTACGGGACTTTCCTGGAAAACCTCTTGCGTATGGAGGGTGTGCGTTAGTTGTAACATAGTATACACCTCTTGCTCTGAAAATAATAAAATACATATGTAAGAATACTCGAAGAAGTATCTGTAATTGACTGTGCTTTGGTAGCAAATAGAGACATGGTAATGCCACCCATTAGAGGACCATAGAGGTTAGAAAAAAGAGATTCTGATGCTGCTGTCGCGTAAATCGCAATTTTTTAGTTCATTGTCTTGCCACCAGTCGCGCTGAAGTTAATAAGTACTGTTCTGTTCTGTCTGTTTAGCTATTTTTATTCTATTTAAACTAGAGTAAGTTAGTTGAGGAGAATACAAGTTATTCAATATATCCAGTCCTTTTGTTGAAACAACGGAGCCATCGCCTCGCCTCCATTATTTTATATAGACTGAAATATTTTTCTACAGAAATTGTTCGTTTTGTAAAACCTCTCAACACAACATCTTCATAAGAAGACTATAGAATATATTATATGGTTAATAAAATATTAATCCGTGCAGTTTTGGAGTAAATCAATAGTAAGTAATTATTATGTTACATAAAATTTTTACTTACTCGTGAGTAACATGTTCACCCATAAGAACATATTCAGTGTCTTTCGGTTCACACCAACCGATTAAGTAAGACAACAGATTTGGACACGGACCCGCCCAGAAACCAACTTTACTATTAATCGACTCTATGAAGTATGGAGTTACCTTTGTATGATCGCATGCAAGAGTTTCTGAAATATAAAATAATAATTTGATTTTGTTATTATTTTAACTTAATACGTAATAATTTAGTGCATAATTATTTAATTTATGAAGTACATAATTATTCTGATTGTATTTAAAAGTATAAATAACTGCCTTTGGGCTTCATGAAATATTTTTGCGCCAAATTGTTTTTAGGTAGCTTTTAGCAAAATTTACTAAAGAATTACATTATATTAGACTATTTTATGGCTTTGATTTTTACTAACCGGAAAATTGAAGATATTTTGAATTCATTTTGAATTGTATTAATTAAAATAACTCTATCAACTTTTGTAGAGCTATGTTACTTTAATATTTATAGTAGAGTCACCTGTTGCTTGCAACGAATATTAGAAAGTAAAGCGCCATCTAGTGTATTTAGTATATACTCTGATAAAAGCTCCCGCGAAAAAAAAATTGGCTATAAAAAAAAAGATGGCGCTTATGTGTCTTTCCCTACATTATAAACCTTATGCGCTGTAATAATAAATATTTACATTATAACATTTTAAAATATTATTTCTTTAAAACGGTGTTTCTTCTGATCTTGAAAGTATAATTAGGAAGACGAGAAAAGTGTTATGCAAAATGTAGCGTTACAGGTCACGACAAATAAGAGGGTCTCTTATGAGATTCTAAGGATTTGCTTTTAACTTTAATATCATATGTAATAGGTATCTCATCAGAAACAAAGAATAATTATTATGTTATGTGTACCAGTTATATGTACCTAATTATAACATTCAAATTATGAACAAATCACTTAAGCAATAGATAAAGATATACTTAATGGGTATTAAACCAAAATACATAATTTATTTATCTAGCTTTCAATTATTAAACTTGTGGTGGTTATTCATAGATGGCGCTGTTTATCTGAGATGCTTAAATCGCGGTTTAAAAAAAACTGAATTTTCATTAATATACTCTACACAGTTTGCATTACATTAATCTCAGTGATTTTTAATGCTATATTTATTTAAAAAAATATGTAAAACTTTTAATGATAATAAAGGATACATTCGATAATCGTTTACGATAGTAGAAATCTAAAAATATATCAGTATTACATAATGCTTATATTTGTGATTGCAATAGGTACAGCTTAAGATTCTATTAGCATAAACTATTTTAGAATGTAATCTTGTCTAAGCTCGCTGGTTGTCCTTACAGCGTCATTAAGTCTTAGTCTGAGTTACGCTTTTTTAATATTTTTTACATAGGATGAGGTATCTGTACTAGTAGTCATTTATATCATGTAATACTTACGAAAAATAGTGTCATGTGCACATCCAGGCTGGCTCGAGCCACCGTTAACGTAAAAGTCAGCATGACCATTCGGCCCCCACTGTCCGAGGATACCAGCTCCAGTATGAAGAATATCAACGAAATGGGCATCGGTATAATCCAAATCTCGAGATCTGTTGTTACCCATGTAGAAAAATATTGTTGGATCTAGACCTAGAACGACAAAGAAACGTTATGCATAATTATGTAACAAAAGGTTATCACAAAATTGTAGTGTGAATATTATGCATTGGGTATTAAAAAAGTTTTCTGCCCTTTTAGAATATAGAGCTATTTTTTGGACCATAATATTATAAACAGTTTTTAAAACAATTGTTTGACTAGCTTTTTAATACTCCATGAGGGAAAACACTCGGAGGGATGTCAATGGTAATTAGTACGGTAATAATATCAATGGTAATAATTAAAATAATTAAAAGATTTAGACCAACATCAAAATAGAGGCAAAATATACAATATGTTGTCCTGTCCTTGGCCGGTCAGATTTTTTTTTGCCAAAACCAATAAACAGTATGGACGCACTGCGCCGACCCCAAATAATTTGGGAAATGGGCAGGGAGAAGAAGAAGGTGTCCTGTCATTTTGGACTACAATCCATTAAAATCCATTCAAAGTAAAATAAGATTTATAAAATAAACTCTTACTTACTTTTACTTTTATAAAATAAACTCTTACTCAAAGTAAAATAAGATTTATAAATTAATAAGAACAATTCAATTTTTGAATAAATATGATAGCTATAGAATATTTTAAAGAACTTAATGTTGCCAAAATATTCAAATTTCGTGATACGATATTTTGTGTCGAATCAGTAGGTGTCCAACCAATACTTTAGCAATACTTATGAAGTATTGCAGTTTAGTCGTTAGAATAACCATGATGATGAAACATTTGAACATAATTATACTAATAATATTAACTATTACCTCTTAACGACTCTCTTAACTATAAGTGACTTAGGATCATTACATGAATAAATATTGTTAAACTCTGTTTAAACCCAATAATGTTATGCAAATCGGCTAGAGGAAGTAAATATAGTAAACTAGTATTTATTTTAGTGGGAGTATTTCAGTTAAATGTAACTGAGGCTTAAGCACTCATTAATTTAAAACTTGGAAAGTCATCGATGCTTACTTTTTTACAAAAATAACTGTAAATGTGTTTCTTAGATAATCGTTCGCTGAAGCGGTTGGATAGATTTGGATGAAATTAATACACATATAGACTAGACTGGTAACACATACGCTACTATTACGCACATATGAACGCAATGATGTGAAAAGAGGGTGCTTTGCTAGTGTTTAATCAAAGGATGATATTTTAAATGCACACAGTACATAATAATATGTTCTATAATTCTAGTATGAAGAATATTAACAAAAAAATATTTCAGAAGAGTGTACCTGTTATTCTGCCAAGTTTTCCTTCTGATAAATGATTAGCGACAAGTCCAAGAATATGGGCACCAACACTATATCCAATAGTGTGTATCTTCTCAGGCGGAACTGATTTTACTGGATGATACTGAAGATATTCCACCAGCTGCGCTATGCACAAGCTCGCGAACCGAGGAGCCCATTCCATCTAAATCAAAAGTACTCATAAATATCAATAAATGACATATCAAGATACATTTTTTTTTAATATTTATAAAAGCTTATTTAAGTTATCTATTAACACAAAACGACTAGCTTTAGATATTAATGAAATTTTCGTATTTATTCCAAGTTCCATTTCATTTATTAGGGTTTTATATATATACATATAATAAAATTGGATTTTTTTGGAAAATCTTATTGAAATAAACATTATTATCGATCCAAAAGCCGAATCTACAGTTTTTAGAATTTTTGTCTGTTTGTATGTCTGTTACCGCATCACAGAAAAACCATTTTTTTGAGGGATTTTGATGAAATTTGGTATGGTGGTAGCTGATTATCAGAGTCAACATATATGATACTTTTTACCGCGGGAAAATATCTCATTTCTAAGAAAAAATACAAAAACTGAAATGTAAGAGTACACTAATATGTACCTATATAAAACCTAAGAATTTGGTTTTTGGTAATCAGAACGCGGGCGGAGCCGATGGCAATGCTGGTGTTATATATAATTTAATTTTAATCAGATTTTTTATGATTAATTTTAGAGATTGAATTGGAAAATATCCGTAAAAAATCCTTGGTGCACCTAGAAGGTGAAATATCTCTCAACATATCACTACAATGTTTCTATTTATCACGACACTATCACTTATCCTGTTATACTTGACATTACTGTTGTATAGGTATTTACTGCCATAATTGTACTTTAAATTATTTACCGACAACATTTAGACGCGCTACTAAAACATGTTTACCTATACATAAAAATGATACTTTATTCCACTGTTCTCAAAAGATATCGTAATATTATAAGCCAAAATTTGCATCTAAGTAAGGGCAAATGAATTTTGTCATTCAGCCTTCGCATATTACTTAAAAGCCCGCAAATTTTACCGCAACTATACCCGACTTTAATGTCTTAATTTAAATATCAAATTGCCATCAGAAATACGTGTATAGTATAGTATACTCATTTTAAAATGATATTCCTTATATCACTTTGAGATTTTCAGGTAATTTCCAAATGTTTTCGTCGTAAAATGAATAAAAATTATAAATTAATAATAGAAGTTCAATTTGTATAAACACTTTTTAACTCAGGGTCAAGTTATTTTAAGTAAAATTGTTCTGTATTATTTAAAAATAATTAACACTAATATTAAATTAAGCAATTACTTAAAGTATAAGTAACTTTAACTTTATTAGCTAGAAATAATATAATCTATGATTCTCACAATAAACTAGAGCTTATTTTAAAAATCATTTAAGGCGATTATTATTAAAACACCGGCGATAGGCATTGACAAACTAATTTAGTCCCTCCACGACCGCGGACACGCCGGCGTTACAGTTAACAATAGATGTCTTAGAAATTTAATTAATTTCTTAGAAATTTACCTGGAGGTATTAATAGTTTTAAAAGTTTTTCAAAAGTTTCATCATCAATGTCTTAAACAACTTATATTAGTTAAAATTGCAAAATGAAATAAGATTTATTCATTAATATACAAAACTCGACATATAGATTCAGCGTCACAAAAGTGTCCTCAAAAAAACAACGCACGTTATCGAATTTTAAGGGAGTAATAAATGCACTATTGAGTTTCTTTTTTCCCTTAACTTTATAATATTTGATGGTGAAAGCCATTACAATAAGTTTAATACACACTCCTAATAATAATCATTTGTAACGGCAATATTAACAAATAGCAATTTTCCTTGAAAAATAAAATAAAAACAACAACGACTCTACTCTATGTAGCTTTTATTCTGACTGACTCGGACGGTCGTTGTTTTTCGGAAGACAAGTTTTAAAACGTGACAACACATTGTTTTCATCTGTGCAAGTTCAAATTTGTGTTAACACAATCAGAATTTACGATTTTTGGGTCTTGTTCTTTGGTTTGACTTAACGTCACTTACGACGTCACCTTTTGAAGAGATTTTTATATTTTTCATTTCTAAGGAACAGTACATCTACGGTTTTATATATTTAATAATTAGTTTTAACCTGGCTGAGGCAAGGCTCTTTCACGAGCGTTCCATAATCCACGATGATAATGTTGTAGTTCCCTTTTTTAAAGTAGGCAGCTCTCATGTCGGTACTTGGAGACAAGTTTCTTCCTCCACCAAACCCATGAACAACTATTTTAGTCGCATGCTTGGGATTAAATTTTGAATGTTTAAGTGAATCATTGTCGAGGGTATTTATTAATTCTCCTTTCTCTTGCGTCGATCTGAGGACAAAACAGTTATCGACCTTCAATTAACTTTTTAAACGAGGTTTTGTAAAAACTCTGTTAAATATGTATGTTATAATGCATGTAAAGTTTACGTGAATGTTGTTTATTTACTCGTATGGATGGATGATGAATGTAGTTTAGTTAGATTAAATTCTAAGATTTATGCCTTTTAAAGGAACAGGCGAGGAAGATTTACTTCATCAATGTCACGTAGAAGTGAGTATAAACGTTATGAACTGATCGGAATACCAAGTACGGTAACTTTAAAAACATGATTATTATTAAAGTATTTATCCTTGAACAAGTAATTATATTATTCACAATCTATTTTGTATTTTTTTTGTATTACACCTTCAAGCTCTTGTATCAGCATTGTAGAGTCCCCGCGAGTTATAAATAAAATAATGTTGATTACGGAATATACACACCTTGTATACAGATAATATTGCATTTGTGGGTGTGGGCATCGAAACGGTGGAGGAATACATGATCCTGTTTTGAATAAATCTCTCACAGACTGAGGCTTCTTTTCCCGATCATCTTTCACTGAATTTTCTTCTTGCGATTGTAATACTGTAAGAAATAGAATATAGAATATATCAAGTGCATATTATGTTGCATACTCTTCAATTATTAACTTTAATCTATCAAGTTTAAAGTTTAATCCAATGAAGTGTACTACTGAAAACTTTACTTCTTTACATATCGGAAGCTGACACTACTACCTGTGTTTACTGATAGATATAAAGTTTTGCAGGAATTCATCTATAAAAGTCATATTTAAAATTTACATAATAGTCATATAAGTTAAGATTTTTATATGAAACAGGATGGGTACACTCCCGTACATATACGAAAAGAATTGCAAAACATGGTAGACATAACCCCCCCCCTCCTCCCTCCCGTCACATCATTAAAATTCATGCTAGATCTTTTAAATATTGCCTGAAGTCTAATAACGAGTATGTATGTATGACAACCTTATTTGTACAGAGTAGAAATTGTAAAAATTGTCGTTTTTGTCCTAAGATTACCCGACTGCGGCAAAGCCCAAAGGAGGGTTATGTGTTTGACCATACAGGTCATGTATGTATGTTCGATCCTATTCCCCCTCGTAATTACTAAACTGCATAAACGCTTCGTCAACTTGTTTTCATCTTTTGTAGTTCGCTGTTTACTCATTCGGTTTTTTTTTAATTTTTGTAAATTATGCTATTTATGAAGTTTTAACATTTCTGCCAGGACGTAAAAACCTTAAACCTATGTATGATGTAATCCAGTAGGCAAGCAAAACATTATGACAATAACGTAACGCAGACTCTTATTCCAAGAATATTAGCACATGTTACCTATATGGTTGAGAGACCAAGATAAGCAAGTATTTAGGTAAATGTGTTTCATTGTTACACATTTAAAGCAGTCGGCTCGAACAGAATTCATTCACTTCTTCATTACTTATGCTTTTTATAGAAAGCGTGACGTTTTATATCTTAATATTACCCTAATATTATCAATAAGATATTTTTTTATTCAATACCACGTTTATTCATAGGTATTCTAACGTAAAGGCCGATAAAACCTTATAAAAAGTAAGTATGTAAATGTAATGTATACTTACGTAATGTAGTACCTATGTAAAAATGTAGTAAATTGCTGGATACTCTAGTAATAAATGCAGTAGCTGTATACCTACTCATTTTATAAGCAAGGCCTTTCGTACACTACTGTTTTGTGTTATTGATATAATCACGCGATATTAAATCTAAAATTTGTTAGATTAGTATTTTTAATGAAACCTTGCAAGTTAAACAAAGCGTAAGTTACAAAATCACAATGGTCTATAATTTTCGTTATCTTAATTTTGTTATTTACATTCAACTCAGGCAGTTTCAAAATCATTTTATTACAAACACTTGCTTGTCAAAAGATTTCTATCTTGTATCGATTAGACTAAAAAGGTTATCATGTTAGTGCTTGTTCTGATTAAAAAAAAAAGATAATTTAGTGTAAATTATTTCGTGCTGTAGGTACCTACTACCTGCAAATATTATAGATCCTAGAATGTGTTTGTTGTATTGTCTTCCTTGGCAACGGGGTAAGGTATCGGCGTGTTTTTTGTGTTTAATATATGGGCCGAGACGTGGCTTAGACTACTTTTTATCTCAGTACCCAACCGGTACTGGTCAAGTAGTTTCCTTAGGAAGGTGGCCAAAAGTCACATGGGATCCAAGGACGCCCATATGAACAGATAGGGATATTATCTAATTAGCTAGCGGCTCACCCTCGTTTCGCTCAGGTTCGCCTCTAGACAAACAAATACAAATCTATCCCATGGGAACCGTACATTTTTCTGGGATAAAAAGTAACCTATTTGTTATACTATATTATTGCAAAGTTTCATTAAAATCAAATCAGTCGTTTTTGTGTACTACGCTGCATAATTTACTATAGTCTTTTAACTATTTCACGGGAACTCTTCAATTTTACGGGATGAAAAGTATCTAAAATGTTGACCAGGGATATGAGGTACCACCATGCAAAATTTTATTTAAATCGGTCAAACAGTTTCGGAGATTAGACAAACAGACAGAGAAATAAAAATTTGACAAAAATCTGGAGTTGTTCTATTTCTCTTCTTACATCTCCTTGACTCGGTTTTTAGCAAATTTCTTTCTATGTACAGACAGTTCTACAGTTTTATTATATGTATAGATATACCTAATGCCTTTGTTTAATAATTAACATATGTACAATGTACATGACCCGAACAGGCCATATGCGTGTTGTTGTTAAGCAATGAGCACTATTGATTACTGCAACTAAATATATTACGTAAATGTTTACCTGATGGAAATGGATAGCAAATAGGAACTTTAAAGGAAAATCCTTTTACCGATACATCTAACAAATATAGCGAAATAACATGTATTTACATCAAAATAAGCTTAATGGAAGTTAATTACATTAAAAGTGTAAGTGGGTTTAATTGTTAAGTGTTTCATGCTACAGCGTAGCGGCTTAACAGATTTGAGTAAAATTTCATTTCATTTCAATAAGGTACTCTTAACTCTTAATTATTTGAACTATTTTAATGTTATGCGTTTGCTTGTTATTATTCACTAGCATCTTCCTACAGTTTTGCCTAAGTGTCGCGAGTAGGTACCGTCAAAGAGAATGTAAAGGAGTTGGTACCGTAGGATAATCGCGAAATAAATGTTTAATTATTTAAATTATTATTTGTTATTAACGTGAGGGTAGTACGAAAATAGTACGAATAGGATAGATTGAGATTTGACTCAGGCGCGGAGGAGACGCAAGCAAGGCAGATCAGGTGCAACGCCGTGTTTTGTCAAGTAAATTAATTTATTTTACCAGTATGTTAATATTTAGTGTTGTTGCGTGTTATCAGAAATCAGATTCAAAGTATGTGATTCAGCAAAGACATGTGTTAGCATGTTATCAAAGAAATCAGACCAGTTATGTGAAATCAGTTAAATCAGTTTATTAAATCAGATCAGTTACCAGTTTAGCGAGGCTCGGGGTTGCTATAGGGGAGGTTGGAAGCGAGTAAAGAGGGACCACACCCTCGTACATTAAATGAGTTTATGTTCATTACCAGCGATCAGTAAATCATATGTTTAACAGTTACATTATAATTATGATATTTGCTTTCTGTGCGTAGCATATTATATTCGTCTAATACCAATGAACAGGATTTTGGCGACACTAAGTGCATGGATTTCTTTTTAGTTAACTCTCCCTTTTTTCTTTACTTACTATGTACTAAGTTGTAAGTGTGTAAGTGTTTTTCATGGATATTTTTGAAGTAGAGCATTAAGATAGCACAGAGTACTGTAACCCTAAATTTCTAATTAAGACATTGTCGCTTTTGTATTTTTTTAATTTAGCCTATCTTTGTTTGAAATATATATACCTATATGAAGAAATATCAATAGCCTGTATCATATAACCTTAATTGTATAAAGGGCAATGTTCAAGAAATTACTTATTGATTTTGCTAGTCACTTCGAAAGGGTAAAAAATATTTACGTACAAAAACAGTTACAATGAAGTGAACAGTGACATGAGAAGTTTATGCAATCGATTTTCTCACAACCAACATAATGTGACCTTCCTGGAAACTTATTCTCTATCTGTTAAAGAGTCAAATATCATTGGATAGATAAATGATTATTATTCTAAGTGTGACAGGTCACCATACTTTCACTTTCCTATAGAATCATTTGATGAGTTCTAATTATAACAATAAATGTAAGCAATACAAATAATTTAAGTTAATCTTGATAAAATCATACTATATATTAAGATGTATACTATAATCCTGCACGGAAATTTAAGAAATAATAAAACATCAAAGAAAAGACTTCAACGATCACATAATTATTAACACCGCATAACATAATACTCAAAGCTGAATCACATGTACAATGTTGTGAAACATAAATAACCTTTATTGATGGACCATAACATATTGCATAGAGCTAGGAGCTTCTTGTGCATTATAATTGACACAATTAAGGCGCATATGTATTTAGTTTGAATACAAAGTGACGTGACAAAAATGTTAAGATTTTACCGAATAACCAGTGACTTACTCTCGCTTCGCTCGGTTGCGTCCCTATATACGTTTTAATTTTTTTGAGCGGGTCCCCAATTCTTTTTCTAAAATAAAAGTAGCCTAAGTGACTCCCTATTACATCAGCTACCTATTTCTAAGTTCCATCAAAGTCAGTCCAGTCATTTCGGAGATCAACCGAAACAAACAAACAGAGAGACAGACAGACAAAAATATTAGAAATTGTGTTTTTCTTATTAACTACATTATTTAATTTCATATGCATTTAGTAAAAAGCTGTTATTTTGATATTACAAGCAGACACTTCAATTTTATTTATCATTATAGATACTAATCTTACATATTATTCTTGCTTTTCCTCTTATTAAACTATGCTTAAATTAAAAAAAAAAACAAATTTTATAGAATGTAGAGAATGTAGTCCATAAGTTCTTGCACTTGTATTATATGTACTCAAATTAAAATAGTATTATATTCAATTCAATTTCTTTGTTTAGTAGTGGCTTCTAGGTGTGCCGTGTTGGAATATTCTATTCTAATAATAAAAAGAGGGATTTATTTTTTGTTTGTTTGTATCGAATAGGAAGTACCAAACCTATTTAGATGAAATTTGGTATGAAGATAGTTGGATGGGGTGAAAATGGGGGTGATAGTTTGTATGGGGAAACAACCTAGGGACGAACCCGAGCGAAGCGAGAGTGAGTCGCTAGTATTATAGAGACGGAGTTCGCCAAAATACATGTCAATGTCAAAAATAGTAGCGTGATTTGGTGTTTATGCTATTATTCTTGATATTGCCATACAGATCGTTTACTTTTTTAAATAACAAGGGAAATTATGTATGTATTAGTTAAATTAAAGCGCAATTTTTGAGAATAAAAAATGAATAGATAATAAAAATAAAACTACATACACACATATGTTCTTTTGTATTTGTTTTCTCTTCCCCTTGAAAATAGCATAATATTAGCATTTGTTTCTTTAAAAAATTTCAAAATAGTAGATATTATAATCTACGTGAAGGTTGGCCAATGTATTGGTTACACATATTCCAAGATCAGTTATTGCTTAACAGCTTTTCAAGGAAAGCGTCTTTAGTAATAAATTTTTGACTTTTTCTCTTGATTGCTTAAGGATTGAAGTAATATAATTAAAACAATATTAATTTCGGATTCGTAGTACATCATTAAACACATAACTATATAAATGTAGTGAACGAAATTGACAATTGCAAAATGCTTGCAAAAGTGTATTTGAGTAAAGTATATTTTGATATGTTTTGATTTGAAACTAAGCCGGATGCTGAAGGTTGATAAACTGAAAACTAATAAAAAAAGGATAAGCTTGAAACGAACCTAATGTGAGGTTTAGGGATAAGCTGAATGTTTGATCGAATATTCATATTCCGTATAGAAGTATTCAGTGTTTTTTATGTTCATATTATTAAATAATATTTAAATAGTATTATTTTAAGATTATTAATAAGGTGTTGGCTTCTGAAAACCGTACGTAGTGTTTGTAAATGTAACAAGGTCGTACTCAAAAAATAAAGTGAAAAAAAAACAATGTAACTCTACTTTATTAACATGATTGCTGTATAAAAATTCACAGAATAATTCGGCCGAATATTTGATTCAGCATATTTTGCACAAAAAAAATTTAATAAAAAATATATTTACGTATTCCGTTTAATCCAAAGGTATTAAGTATTAAGATCCTATTCGGCGTATCCCTAGTAAGGACTTTCTTTACTTCTCGCCACGATGGAAGTACCACCTTTCATGTATATAAATATGTTTCTTTTTACTTTAAAAAATAAAGAGGTAAAGTTTGTGAGTTTGTGACGATGTAGGGGGTAATCTCTGGATCTACTTAACCGATTTAGATGAAATTTAGTAAAAAAATAGTTTGAGACCCTGGGAAGGACATAGGATACGTTTTATCCCAGAAATCACCTCATAAAGGGATAAAAATGGGGATGAAATTTATTTATTTATTAGTATTGGGAAGCAAGCTAGGGACGAACGTATAAATATAAAGGAAATAAGAAAAATAAAATACAATTATAAAATTATGATAATTATAATATATCTATGTTTTGTAAAGTTTACATTGGTTCAATCGTTACTCCATCAGATGACCTCTAGGACTTGTATGTTAGAGGTTGCGTCCTTAACTACTGTATACTGCTAATTGTGCGTTCTTGTTACAAAATTATTACTATTAAATGAAATCATTCCTATACGTAGTTAATATTTATAATAAACTATACATTACTTTACTACTTTTTATTTCTACGTTGTGATATAAAACTATTGCTTAATTCATTATTACACAATTTTTAAGATGAATTTCGAAGAAAGATATCAATGTCAATGTATGTATATAAAATTTAAAGAGGAATTATAATATATTCGCTTACACGAACTGTGAGAGCAAAGATTATGCAATAAATGTTGGCCGACTCACTTTTGTAACGTAACCTACTCGGAAGTAGGCGCATTGTGTGAGCTGCGCGAGCGCAACGCGTCTACGCTCTACATCACGCTTCATTTCATTCAACAAAGTTTTTAATTGATAACAGTCAAAATATTGCAAATGTATACATACATTTTTGTTGAGTAGGTATATCTTACCTTGTTGATGATTTAAAGCTTATTTTTAATTTCGACGCTATGTTAAAAATTTTAAATATTAAAATAATTTATAGGCATGAAAAACTTTATTAGTATTAAAAATAACCAAATACCTTAACTAAATACTAGTATGACAATATTTCGATCGATCTAAATTAAACATATATTTTTACATAGACATATATTTTTTTGTATACATAGTACATATATTCGTAGTGGGGAAGCCATACTTAAAATAAATATTATATTGTGCGTCTTATAATCGGATATTAATAAAGAGTAATTTCAGAAGTGTTTAATTGTCATTCTTTGCTTAATTATTATCCATTAAAATTTAAATATAAAATAATGTAAATTCACGTACTTTGGTGATTATTTTAATTACTTACCAGAAACTTGTAATGCAGAAATTCCAATAATTAATAACCACTGCACGTTTGCCACCATTATCTATATTAATAATGTTATTCGAAAATTAAAAAATAATAATTAGCACATATAAAACCCTTAAGCGATTATAAATAAACTTTCATATAGTTAAAAAAATATTATTGTTTTCTTAAGTCCACGTGTGGTTCGTCTTTTAGGGAACCCTTATACGTCTGACACTTGCGTTCTCAGTTTGGTTACTGAAAGCGAAAGTGAGTGCACAAACCTTGCCGTATGGTTCCTCTTGCGAAAATGAATATATCACGAATTGCAACTTAAATCACATTATTATAAGCTTGCTTTCAAATTAGCGAATTATTTACAATAACAAATTAAAATAATTGTTATCCTGCGCTCATCTTTTAATAGTTACAGGGACTTGTCCTTCTAGTTTAGTGAGCAATTTACATTTTTGTATTTAATAATATAATTATAAAAATTAGTTCACGCTATTTCCCTTTCCTGACTATTTTTATAATCGATATCTAAAAAAAAATTAAGTATTTCCTATTTAAATAGATAAATGTACATTTTAAAAATAGGTCATATATGATATTTTCCATTGAAATTGATATGCGGATATTGGATAAAGAATAAAGACTATTTATTGAGGAAATGGGATCTTGACAATGATTCTAAGGAAAACTAATATAAAATACATGTCAGTGAAATTGAAACCAGAGTTACAAAATCAATAAGATCCTGTTTTATTACACCACTAGCAACTTACCCTCGCTTTGCTCAGTTTTAAGTGCGTTTTTAACTGACTTCCAAAAAGGAGGAGGTTCTCAATTCGACGGAATCCTTTTTTTATGTATTTTCACCGATTACTCGAAGACGCCTGAACCGATTTGGATTTTTTTTGTTACGAAGGATATACTTCCCAGGTGGTCCCATATACAATTTATCGAAATCGATTAAGCGTTTTTTTTTAAATCAAGAAATATTTTTTTTTAAATAAATTGCTTAATCGAACATGTTATTAAAAAACTTTCTTCTAACAAATTACCTGCTTATTACGTCTACACTAAAAATGGACAAATAAAAACTTAAAAAAAGCGACTTCCAGGCACTAAAATGTAAAAAATAACTAAACGTGTTTTCATTTAGAATAGACACCTAATCAGATATTATCGAAGTGCCAGCCGACAATATTTTAAGATATGAATATCTAATAGGTAAATATTATGTGTTTTACGTATCGAAATATATTAGATTTGCTTTGCATCGGCTGGCACCGACTTCGAAAATATTTGATTAGGTATCTATTCTAAATGAAAACTCCCGTTTAGTTATTTTTTACATTTTAGTGTCTGGAAGTCGGTTTTTTTTTTTAAAGTTTGATATAGATATAACAGTTACTAAATTATCTCCTAACAGGAGATAGACACATGCTATCATATACTTTTTGTAGAACTTTTCAGGACCTACAATTTTCTACTACATAGTTTTGACGTATCTCTTAAGAGTTAAGGTATAACGAGCATTAGCCATGTCAGCGAACGAAATTTTTTTTTGACATAATATCGACATAACTCATAGTTCAGCTGTTTTGTACAAATTATTTACAAATTATAAACAAAAATCTTCCACCTTCATGGGTCTTTCTATAAGGGAAAACCGTATGAAAATCCGTTGTGCGATTTAGAAGTAAGTGGAGAAACAGAGCCAGACAGCGACTTTGTTTTTTACTATTTCCTACATAAGTATAAATAAGCCACTTGCGCTCGAATTAAATTTAATTGAATTGTCCCGTGAAAATAAGATTTATTGCGCTATGCAAATATGTTCATTTTTTGCCCTAGTAATAATTATAGTTCTTGTGTAATAAAAAAATCATTGAAATTTTTGTATGAAGGGCAACTCGGTAAAATCAGTTATTGTGTTTTTCTATAGAAAACTTACTACAGTAAAAGGTATCCTAAATGTCGACCCGAGTAATAAGTTGTCACTACACAAAATTTAGTTGAAATCCGTTCAAAACTTTTTGTGTGAAAAGCAAACAGACATACAGACAAAAAATTCAACCATTATAGTTTTCGTATACATATGTACATACTGTAGTACATCTTTGTTTCTAAAAAATATTTCATGTATAGATTTCGCTTCGAAAATTATATTTTGTAAATAAAAATAATATAGTAATAATCATTACGAATACATATAAAAATAAAATGAAAGTAAAATTAACACTTTTGACACAGTGGTACTGTGTGTTAACAGACCATACTAAGTTGAATATGGCAGGTTCAATTTCTGCACGAGGTTAAAGTACTAAGAAAACACTAATTAAAATATGTTAACTGTTGATTTAATGGTATAATATATCTATGTATATGTCCTTAAAAATCTGACATGTAATAATATATTGCACAAGGAAAGACGGTCACGACATACCGACGGTATGAGCCATGAACTTTCCTAATTATACTGAATACTAGCAATAAGGTAGAGTTGCACAATAATTGACCAAGCTATAAAAGACAGGCTAATATTAAATTCGTAATGGTGTGGTTTTGCAAGTCGGATTGAGGATGGCTATAAGGAAGGATATTGACAAAACTGCAAAGTGCAAGCGACTGTCAGTAGAGTGTATCCGTTAACTTTGTAATGTGCTGTACCGGCCAGTTACCTAATAGCAGTGTTCCAACTCCATTCGCACAACGTAAAAACCAACTAACGTTTGTTACTAAAATTTGCGTAATCCTTGTAAGTCTTTACCACATTATAATTATTTTAAATACTTTATGGTGCATAGGTATACTTATGCTACAATCTAAAATTAAAACAAAAACGTTGCCTAAACTATGCCATTTATTCTTGGATTAAGAGTACTCACTTCTACTCTTTGTAAGTTTTTTGTCTATATATTTAAAAAAATGAAGGCTAACATGTTTCAATTTGAAATGCGGAAGAAAACTTTGATTACTTACCTTGGTAGCCCAGTGGTAACGCGCTCGCTTGGGAAACCGAGTGAAGCGAGTTCAAATCCCGGGTCTCGCACCTCTGATATTTTCATGTGCGAATCATTTCCAACATGATTACCACTTGTCTTAACGGTAAAAGAAAACAAAGTGAGAAAACCTGCATGTCTGAGAGAACCTAGCAAGTTTTCGAAAGACATGTGAAGTCTGCCAACCCGCACTTGGCTAGCGTGGTGGACTATGGCCTGATCCCCCTCGTACTGAAAGAAGGCCCGTGCCCAGCAGTAGGACGTTAAAAAGGGCTGAATACAATAGTTACTTAAGACTTTAGTAGGTATAATTTTTATTCCCCCCCATCGTGCGTTCACCTTGTCGTGGTGGGGGAGCTCAGTAGTGCCCGGCAATCCAACCGGACGCGAAGCTAAAAAACGCACAGGGATGTTGCCCACTTCGGTGGGTGGTGGGAGGTGGCCCTCTTCGGGGGGCGGTGTGCCTTGCGGGTTGCTCCTGGTACTTCTCTGATAGCAGAGTGGACCTTGGAGCAACCCCATGGTTGTGGTGGTCTGCTTTGGCAGACCTGCCGCCGGGGCGTCGTAGTTGAATGCGTAAGGGATCCTGCGACGCCCCATTAAGACGGGGGAAGGTTTTGTTGGGTTTTAGTGGGTAGTACTGGCTGTATTACGCCGGTGAGACCCACACGTCGTGCGTAAATGCATTTCCCAACGTTTAAAAAAAATTGAAAAAGGTATAATTTTTATGAAAGCATATTACTTTTTACTATTTAAAAAGGCCGTGTGGCGCTAGGCGTATATAGTATAATAACAATTACCTTTTCTTGCTGGGGGTGTTCTAAGCGACGACTAAAAGGAAAGTGGGCTGCAGCACCAACTCGCCTACTATGTTTAAGGATATAGCATCATCTTTTAGAGAAGCCTATGTCCAGCAGTCTTTCGGCTTTTAAAACAATTTAAGGCACAATTTTACACAGCTATCTATTATCAATAAACTGACTATCGTATTATTCAAGTAACCAACTGTTTTTTATAGATCTGGATTTATAATTTTAAAAAAAGTTAAAGGACATGACAATATTTATTGTGTGTATTTTATTATAAATCTTTTCTGGATCGTATACCCTTTACTATTTCTGTGACTTATAATTAAATATTTTGCTTCCTTTTATATTTTTAAGGCAAACACACAATATATTGCTCTTGACCTTTCCTTAAAAACAAATATTTTTCTTCCTGGTATATTTACTTAACGATAACCCTTAAAAATAATTTGAAGATTAACATTTATAATAACTTTTATATGTTAGTAAGGATTATATAAAATATAAATAAAATAAGTAAGGTTTCACTTTTTTAATTTATATATCTTTATGTACACGTCTGTTCTTTTTCTGCATACGCTGCACAACTTTATTTTTTTCCACACAATTTCAGTTTTGTAGACTTAACCTACATATTTCTTGATCCTCGAGCATATGGTGGTTTGGAGTTTGTGCCAAAATAATAAACACCTGAAGCACTAAAAAAATATTGGCATTGTAACATTGTGAAAAATACAATATGTTTACTGTTTAAAAGTATATAATTTATAAAGGAAATAATCTCTGCGGCGTAAAGTCCTATGTATTTTTACCCTACTGAGGCGAAACCCACAGGAGGTTATGCGTTTAAACTGTATGTATTTTCGATTCTATGTTCCCTCGTAATTACTAAACGGCTTAAACCGATTTTGATGATTCATACGTCATTTGATTCGTCGTCTCTTCTATTTAGTTCGCTTTTTACGCAGTCGGTTTTTTTTTATTTTTGTAAATATTTTGAAGTTATACTTATTTTGGCAAGTTTGGAAAAAATTATGACAGTAATTTTTTCACGATGCGCGCGTACACCGACAGCCAAAAAGCGACATGATGAAGTTAGCTGCATTCCTTTTACAAACGGAGAATTGTGACATACGGGATGAAATCTTCATCTATTTTTGTTTTGTTACGCCAAAGAAATATAACTTCTTATGTGCGTACATAAGTACACACAATTTATCGCCTGTTACTCGAGAAAGGCAATATACTTTTAATATTATTTTTGTACGCGTGAAATTTCAATATACACATTCTTTGTTATTCTTTGAATATCTTACTTTTTTGCAAAAATTAAATACGGTAGATTGAAATAAATATTGGCTTTTGCTATTCGTCTGACAATCGGATAATTAAGAAATAATTATTCGTTTGACTATCGGTTTGTACAAATGTCTAAACCTTTTTTGTTTTTTTAATATAAAATACGTGATTTTTAGGTGCAGGAGTTTCTATATGCACAAAAAATGCCAACGATTTTTTATTACAAGATTTTTATTTGTAAAAAAAGAGAGCCCCTAACCTACGCAGCTAAATATATATTATATTAGGAGTATATTACTGCGTCATAATAAAGCAATAATTCTAACCTATCGGGCGATAAAGAATTTTAATTTAAGTCCATTCGATTTTATTTGAAACTTAAATTTTAACTATCGATATTCTTAAGGGGGCACCGAGGCAATTACGAAATAATTGCGTTCGTTTGATCCCTTGCTGTATTGTTATTACTAAAACTTTAATTATGCAATTAATAATTGGCGTAAATAATTCAATAAAGTTCATCAGGCTTTTAATAATAAACAAACTATACGTTTTCTATAACGTATATATATACACTTAACATATTTGCCCCCCCCCCCCATCTCCCCCACAATAGTCGGACGAATATTAGTTTTTTTTTCATCAGATAATTACCGGACGAATAGACACACCGATAAATATTATTCATAATAATTGGAATTTTCATAAAAAAAAATATATTATTATATTATAAATATTTCTTGTTCAGCGGAAAAAATTATGTAATAAAAAGTACCCATCATTATCGAAAAACATATGTATAGTTTTAAAAGTGTTCATATTATGTGCTTACACCACATTATTATGATTTAATAATTATAATTTGTACTGTATTCATATATATAGATGAGATGTTTATAATTCTTACTTGTTTGGGGTATATTCACCAAAAAGAATTTCTTCTCTCGTATATATGAGATCACACCATCCCATAAAATATGTGATCCAGGAAAAGCATTTTCTTGCATAGAAACCTTTTTCACTGATTATTGATTCGGCAAAGTATGCAGGTGCCCTTGCATGATCACAGCCAGATTTTGCTATAAACAGTTGAAAATATAAAATATAGTATAGATTTCTAACGTTAGTTCATACTGTGATAATGAGATATATATATATATATATATATATATATATATATATATATATATATACACACCTAATATATATATATATATATATATATATATATATATATATATATATTAGGGTGTGCCAAAAAATGACGATATTTTTTTTCTTCGCTCTCACCCCAAAATATCTTAGAAAATGTCTCAACAAAGCTCCTGTTAAAAGCGGAGCTCAAAATTCCAATTCTAAGAGGTTCTCCATCGAACTTTAAGTTTTCCCATACAAATTGTATGGAAAATATGATTTTTAACACTTTTTTGTCCTGCAAACTATGACGAAAATATTTTTCAAAATATATATATATATATGTACGTATAAAAAATACATAAACATTAATAAACAAAATCAGTAATATGTTGTCACAAAATACGAAGTACGATGTTTGAAGGTAAAGATCGTCATTATGAAAACGATTCAATCATTAAAAATAGAACTAATTCCTTTTTAATTGGCATTACTTGTACTTGTTCAAACAATAGTTTCTATAGTGGAAACTATGGTAATCTTCACCTCAAAATAACTCTGTAAAATGACATCTTATTGCTGAAAGTCACTGGTATTTTTCTGTTTCCGTACAAATCAGGATGGCTAATAAAAGGTTCTATAGAACAATTTTAGAACCGTTAGAAAGTATATTTTTAGTCATTAAGGGGGCGAAAGGCTTTATTTAACAATGAAATAATATATTCAATGAAAAAGCTTGTCATAACTCTGCACCGATATAATTTTAACATACTCTGATCTTTTGTTGGCATGCAACCAGGTTGGTCAACACCTCCGTTAGCATAGAAGTCTATATGACCACTTTTCTCTAATTTTCCTTTTTTCAAAGCGTTTGTATGCAATACGTCCACAAATAATGCGTCACCTGGGTCAATCTTATCGTTTTTACCCTTAGTTGCAAATAATGGTAAGGCTGGATCTAAAGCTGAAAAGTGAGATAGCATTTTCATAAATATGATTCAACATAAAAATTAAATATATGTATTTATATTCTTAGTTAAAACAAAGTCGACTACTAAACACGTCTCCATATATGTAATAGTCTGATCTGATGTAATATAATTTTTGAAAAAGATGAAAAAAAAAATTCAGTTTTTATCTTGTAGCTACCTAAGCAACTGGGTAAAAGACGGCCTAACTTCGGATCTTCCACATGATATATTTTTTGTTTTATAAAAACTTGGAATATTTAATATAGGTAACATATTAAGAATTTCTATAAAGTGTAAACGTACGTTATAGTGTTAACGTATGTATTTTAGATAAAAACTAATATAGTTTACCTGAAATTCTTTCTATCTTTCCCGATTTAATAAAGTTTGCGATATAGCCTGCAGCTTGACCACCGAGGCTAAAACCTATGATATGAAAATTAGGAAGTTTGAATCCGTACGTCTGTACCAATTCGTCGATTAACTGCGCGGTGCACATCCCTACGAGCTCGGTGTTATGTGCTGCTTCTACGTAGCACGGTTCTAGTGCTATTTTATTATAATCTACACATATTATATTATAGTCACAGCATTTCAAATACGCTAAAAAAAAATACGATATTAATTTTCTTAAAAAATGTATATTATTCTTTTTAGATTACTTATACTATCATTTTCTTAATACCTAGATAAAGTAAGCAATTAAATATATACGAGTATGTAAGAGAAAATTTCTATAGGTTATAACGATTTTACGAGTAGACACGATGATGCTCTTTGCTAGTGGATCCGCAACTGATCTGCCAGCTGCATAGTTTTTATCTGCTGATAGTTCTATCGGTTTTGTAATTATTAAAAAAAAATAGAAGAGAAGTCTAACTAAAGCGTTATAATGTTAGCACTTAGTGGTAACGCATTAGAATAATGTATTTGCAGATTTTCTAGCATTAAAGATAAAGGTGGAAAAGACTGTAAGGTGTACCGAGAATGTTCGATGTTGATTGTGGATATCTATTTAAGATTAACCCTGGATTTGGTAACGAATTTACAATGGTACTAAAGATTTAGTGCTATTAGCGCAAATAGCCGGTAAAGTCACTACATTCATGAAAATGAAAAATAATATGTAATGAGTATTATATCTTAAGCATTTCAAGCAATACCATGCAAACGTATTATATATGTATATTTTATATGTTACAGGTCAAACTAGATTTCAGGCCAAACTAGTTTGTCCTAGATCAAACCGGTTCATTTAAAGTGTGTCAAGATATACTAGTTTAGCCCAGGACAATCTAGTTTGGCCTAAATACTTTAGGCCTAACTAGTTTGGCCTAAGCCAAACTGATCGAAATAACATAGCACTTATAATATTGGGAGTTCTGGGTTTGATATAAAAAAAGACCTAACGAGAAGGCTAAGGCGGGAGCAAAGTGTAGCATATCTCCTGGCTTAACCTTCTAAACCTACGTTATCCAAGTCGGTCCTGTGACATAATAATACCATCCACTTTTCCAGAGGTCGCGTTCCATATACTAAACAGCCGAATAATCATCTCAAAATCAGCTTGGCCTAGGCCAAACTAGTTAAGCCTAAAGTATTTCGTATTTTATTAAATACTAAGTAAAAACTTATTTAGTATTTTATTAAATACTAAATACTTTACAAGACATAGTTTGGATGAACGGCTTGGCCTAGAACAAACCAGTTTGGCTTGAAATCTAGTTTGGCCGGTAACATATGCAACATAATATGTAAATTGTTTAAGAAAAAATGTTCTTTTGAAAAAAATACCTGGCCTTATTTCTACATTCGGAGAAAAATCTCTATGTCCAGTGTATCCGTGTATTAATACTTTAATTGCTGCGTCTTTGACCCATGGCGCTGAAGTGATAGTATTAGAGTCTGAAATTTTTAACTCGTGTGGATCTCTCTCATTTGCCCTGATATAAAAAGTCCTATTTAATTTAAACTTATTTCACGAATAAAATAATTATTAATTACTTGTTAAATAAAATTTATATTTGTAGCTATTAGCTACACGTAAAGTTTTACTACAAATAAATATTAAAAAAAATTACTTTGTATATAGCCAAAATGAAATGTTAATATTCGGACACTCTAGCGGTGGTGTGACACATCTATTATCAAAAATGCCAGATACGTATGCTGAAATGTAAAAAAAAAATATTTAATAAACTTAGGCGATAAATTTTAATTAAACTTTGCTTAATTAATGTACTTACCTATATTAAGGTAAAGATCATACAATCATATTGGGTTACAAACTGCCTCGGTGGTGTAGTGGCTAGCATGTACGGTTGCACACCCGGAGGTCCTGGGTTCGAGTCCCGGGTCGGGCCAAGTTTAGTTATTGAGTCTTCCTGTATAGTAAGTCTCAGTAACAACCCGGAGTTGGGAAGTTGGCGGTGTTTCACCCCCGTGCCTCGGAGAGCACGTAAAGCCGTCGGTCCTGCGCCTTAACTCTCACCGGTCGTGTCGAGTGGTCGTCCCACCGGAGTATGAGAGTGATAGGAATAGAGAGTGCACTTGTGTCTGCGCGTACACTTGAGCACTATAATATCTCCTGCGCAGTTGGCTAATCTCATTGAGATTGGCCGCCGTGGCCGGAATCGGCTAGGAGAACATCATCATCATCATCATTGGGTTATAACAAAACTCGAAGAAAAAGGAAAATCGATAAAAATCGCAAATTTATACACTACTTATAATTTGCCCACAATTCGTCACAATTCACATCTTACTGTACATGGTAATTCATTAGTCAGCATAGAGAAACTATCTTTCAAAACAATATTTAAAAATATGTAGATAATAGTAGTTTGAAGTTTTGTATTCGGTATTTATTGTATCGAAAAAGTTTATTTATCAAAAAAGAATCAAATTTTACTTTTAATAATGTGTATAATATTTACATATTTATACTGTGGCCCCTATCAAAACTTATTGTTTATGCTATATCATAATACGGAGAGCTTGAATTTTACTTTTGGACCCACCTACTTTTTTGTTAATTTTCAGATTTCATTTAACTATTAGAAAAGTATCACACTGACTAGAAAAGTTAGTGCTACGCAGGATAATATTTTAAAGGTTTTTGTAGAATTTTTGTAATTTAGGATTGCTTTTATCGTCCAATCTGCTATCAGAAAGTACCAGGAGCAACTCGCATGATACACCAGGAGGAGGCTATAGACATACCGAGGTTGGTCATGTCTTGCTGGATTGCTGCGGCCGAACGCTACTGAGCGCCTCCATCAATACAAGGTGAAAACACATCGAGGAGGTTATCGAGTTTCTCTGCCATAACAAGGTAAACATATAACATTCAGGGTGTTGGACCAATTACCTTGGTTAAGTCCAAAATGAAATAAAACTGGGACGTGGGCAATTGCTACTCTAACATTAATAACTATAAAATTATATATAGTACTTAAGATACTTAAGAAATATTAGTTCATAATTTACGCTCATTAAAAAAACACCTTGGAGATAAAAACGATTATCGCTGATAAGATTTATAAAGAAGTCGCTTAGACGCATACTTAAATACAAATAAGGATGAATTGAAATGGCTTTCGGATGTTTATATGAATAAAATTAAATAAAAAAATTCTTTTATTATCTATATATCTATCCTTACGTGATAAATTATTATGTTCATGGGAAATGAGCTTGAGTTCTTACATTGAATTTTATATTCGATAATTATTTTAAAATGAACATTTTGCTAACTCAAATAATTATCATTTTGTATGTAAAGTGTTTATATTTATATAGTGTTCTTTATTATTGTAACAATTAAGAGATTTTTCATCGCTAAATCCATACTAATATTATAAATGTGAAAGAGTGTTTGTTTGTTTGTTTGTTTGTTTGTTTGTCCTTTTTTTCGCGTGATTTTTTATGTGGAGATAATTGGAAGGCTGGAGAGTGACATAAGCTACTTTTAACCGCGGGAGATTACCTCATTACCATGGGAAAACACGTTATAATACAACCCAAAATATTATTTATGATCAGAATTATTTGAAACTTGGTGTTAATGTTCTTCAATACAAGTAAATAAATACGTGTTTTAGATTTTTTCGAAATTCATCCTATAAGGGGGTAAAATAGGGGATGAAGTTTGTATGAAACCTACCTTTTTAGTTTTAGTTTTTGCGCAAGCGAAGCCGCGGTTTCTGCTAGTAAATAATCTATATATATAAAAATCAATTCTGTTCGTTAGTCTCGCCAAAATTCAAAAACGGTTGGACCGATTTGAATAATTCTTTTTTTTTTTGGGGGTGTCTCAGGGGTGGTTTAAAAATAAAAAAATAGCGAAAATCCAAAAAAAACTGCTGGAAATTCGAAAAGTTTAGAGATATTTATTTCGTATGGGAGTCACTAGCCGCTAAAACATACCTAGCGAAGAACCCGAGCAAAGCGAGGGTGAGTCGCTAGTAATTGATATAAATGTATATAGAGTTTGCCATAGAGCGCGTTACTTTCAAAAAGAATCACTGGCCAGTCAGATTACAGATATGGCCTGGACCAAAAGGTTACATAATAGCATCCCTAAAAAATTACATGACTAATCTATATAAAAATCTAATATTTAAATATCTGGCGTCATGGTGTTTCTGGTCGCACTCCTCCGAAACGGTTCGTCCGATTTTTTTTTGTATATTTGGTAGGTATGACAATAAGTCATAAAGTATTTTTTATCCTCCTACTCCTTCCCCCCTTCCCCCCACTTTTTTTTAACGTAACCCGAGTGGAGCGAGGGTAAGTCGCTTGTAATAATATATAAAAATTGATGCGTGTAAGTTTGTTCCCTATGGACAAAACGACTAAAACGATTTTGATGAAATTTTCTGAAAATCTTCAGAATAGCCCTGCGGGTTATCCTGTGAAGTTCGGTAGTAATTGTAAGTTTAACGCAAGCGAAACCGTATTGCTGTGTACTAAGTAATAATAAAAATTTAGCAAATAATTTTAATAATCAATACAATACAATTTTTATTATATATATATAATATGTATATATATATAATATGTATATATATATAATATGTATATAATATATAATATATATATATATATATATATATATATTATAAACCAAAAATCTAACAATAATAAAAATACTCACAAATATATAAAAAGAAGAAGGTTGCTAATAGCGTAGTCCTCATTTTATTTATGGTAAATTTTAAACACTCGCCGTTGAAAACCATTTAATAAAAAGACATTTTAAGAAATAACTTTTTGAATAAATTGAAATAAGACCATCTAAATTTATGTCTTTAACATGACTGCCATCTAATTATTAATTTTGTCGTATATGGGAGGTTCAATCAACTGTAATAAATTATTATAAGACCGCATGTATGTATACCGTTTTTATTATAAGAATGGAAATATCTTCTTTTAAAAAATAATGTAAAAATACTTGATTATCGCATATAATATTTCGCTGATGACGTCGAGTGCGAGCGCGGTCATGACCCCGCCGCGTGCATACGCCGCAGCCGCAGCCGCAGCTGCGCCTGCCCCCGCCCCTACACCCGCCCCGCCAAACAAGCGGCCCTCGAATGGAGGGAAAAAGAAGAGCCGGAGCAAACCAGCTGCCAAACAGGTGCCTTCGACGGGTTCCACGAAGATCCAACCTGACGAGGAGGGCTTCACTAAAGTGGAGAGGAAGAAAAAGAAGCCCTCATGCCGTAACATCTGTGGCACAGCTCCGAACCAGCCAGACCATCCGATGCGTCCTGCCGTACCATCGACGCCGCTGTATGTGTCCCGAGTGCACTGGTCTACGAAGGTCGAGGATGTCGTAGACTACGTCCTGAAGAGGTCCAACTTCAAATTGAGGGTTGAACGGCTGGTACCTCGCCACAAAACGAGTTTCAATTCGTTTGTGGTGAGAGTGCCGACTCATCATCTGCCAACCTTCATGAAGGAGGACTTCTGGCCGCAGGGCGTCGTGTTTCGGAAGTTCCGAGGACGTATGCCCGCCGACACAGCTTACACGTCTGCACTACGTGTTAAATAGTTTTTAAGTTTTTTATAATTAATATATTATATGTTAGTTTTAAGGTATATATGCTATGGGCCGCTGTTTACATATTTAAGATCCCTATGTAAATATTGCCTGAAATAAATAAATAAATAAATAAAATAAAATAAAAATAAGCGATATTCGAGAAAGCAGTCGACAACTGACTAAGTTATTTAAATGGTTTATTAACTTTAGTAGGGTCGTGTAGGTACTTACACATGGGCACTACATTAGTACGGACAAAAAGACAGAGTTAAACATCTTACATTTATTTATTTTCTCATTTTTTTTATAATTTTATTTATAAAGTAGTGGTTCATCCTCGCTCCGCTCGAGGTCGTTCCTAGTAACGTTTTAACGTTTAGTATAGATTCCTCAGAGATATGTTCTTGAAATACATATGTACAGTATTATTTAAGTTGACTCGGATGACCAGTTATCATCATACCAAATTTCATCAAAATCTGTCCAGTGGTTTTCAAAAATTCTAAAACTATAGATTCAGTTATTCTATCACTCGTTGGGTTTTGTTACGTACTTAACATTTCCCTCCTACACTCTATGAACACAACACAATCAAATAATGACTATTTCAATAAGATTTCCAAAAAAATATTAATGTTCAGGTTCGACTCAGTTAGAATTTTATTATATGTATAGATAGTATTCTTAGTAAAATTAAATTAAATAAAACCCAATCTTTACTAAGTTTCTTCTGTGAATGATAAATTATAAGTAGGTAACCGTTATATCGCGGAATGCTAAATCTGCCAATTATATATTATGTATTAACTAGTTCTTTACCTATGAAATTGTCGTTTAATATATACAGAAAGTTAAAGTCATTTTTTTATAAATATTTCTTATTTCTATCAATCAAAATATACACCCATGCTATCCATGCATTTCTGCGAGTGCAGTGGTAATTTTTAAATGCCCTTCTTGAAGAAGCCAGTCTGGTGAGTACGGTGGATGACGCGAAACTTCCAACCGTATGAGGTCGAGCGTTTTCGTGTAGGAACAGCGAGGACGAGCGACTGGCCCAAGATTTGCGAGGCTGACCAAAGATTTGCGAGCTTCTCCATCATTGTGTCCAGTTCCTCATAGGACACATCGTAATGCTGGTGCCATTTGGCCCACTGGCCATTGCCCACCTAGGAAATGCCCCACCTGCTGACACAGGGTCTAACCAACATGATGACCCATTACGATTATCAAAAAGAATCCCTTTTTCATCTTAATTCGATTATGGAATACGAGTAATTAAACTCGAAAAATTGATGGAAAAGATACAAATATAGTGAAAACAAAATACTAATAAAAAAAAATGGCTGAATTTGAAAACTGAACTTTATACTTTTAAAATAAAATTCCTTTGAATTTAGAATTTATTGCCGGCCATTCATAAATTATGTTTCAAATAGTCAGGTATTGTAAAACGGCAACTTCATAGGTAAAGACCTATTATTGGGTACGGCCCACTGAAATCAGAGTTTATTCAAGCAAGAACCTAGGTATTATGTTCACTTAAACGGATACTTAGTTTTTACACTTGGAAATAATTTAAGAAGCTCGTAAGCTAATCAATTAAACCCACTAATATTATAAATACGAAAGGTTGTGAGGATGTATGAATGTTTGAATGTATGCAGTATGAATGTTTGTTACTCTTTCACGCAAAAAATACTGAATGATTTTTATTGAAGCTCATACTCATCTTTACAATGCAACTTTACAATATTCAATTTTACAAGCTCATCAGAATAACACATGGATATTTTTACCCCGGAAAAATGTATGTTTCCCATGGGATAAATTTGCTTTTAGTTAATATAAGAACAATTTATTGGACTAAAGTACCTAATGTTTAGAATAACTAGTAATTTTGTACCCTAACTGATTTATATACATTATGGAAAATACATGATTGCGCACGCTTATTCTTCCTTTATTAGCTTTTTGCAAAAACTGACCTTACGAGAATTGCTTTATTTACAAGGTTAAATAGTAGTTAATTATTACGTTGTATATATATGCTATTGAATATTCAATGATAAACCGACAAACATACTTCCTAATAATATACTATAATAATAAGGATCATAAAATAAAATATCAGTAAATCTAAGCATTAGAGTTTAATATGTACTGTGTAATAGGTACTTTGATGTGTAATAGGATTCAAAAGTTATTTAGGTTTAGAATAAAGAATTACATAAAATGTAATCTTTATTGTAAGACAAAGAAATTAAAATTGTACACTTGAGTCTCTATAGGGTTTATGTTCCAAAATATGTAAATGAAGCCAATAATGATACACAACAAGCTGGCTTTATCATCTTATCGCTGTAAAGTAAAATTTACACCGGTTATGTTGTTTTTTAGGAAACCGAAAAGCCCTACTTGATAATAAAATTAGTACAAGTACATATGCAACTAACCAAATACAAGTGCACATACATACGAGTAGGTACCCACATTTGAATTCGTTTTTACTGGGTAGTGGTAACGGTATTTTAAAAAATAAGATATCTAATTTAAAAAAACTTTATATATTGTATTTAAAATATGTAACAAATAGATTTTTACAGCACTTTTGAATCACTCAGTAAAACCATAAAGAATTTACCACCTTGCAATGCTGTTAAAATGTGTATGTAGGATTTGCAAGATGAGTGTGCGTGGAATAATATTTTAAGAATAAAAGAGGAGGTATGCAAGAATTTTAAGAATGGAATGTAATAGATGAATAAAAGAAAAGAAGGATGTTTTGTCATAATGACGACATGACGAGACGGGTGAACATTGTTTTGTATAATTTTAAAAGAATAAATAGTTAATAGTGTTTTAAACGCTTTTATTAGTATCCCCGGATCCTACATGTATAAGTATTCACTATTCACAGAAAAGTGTATATATGTATATGTAAATTCCTTGAATTGAAACGTATTACAAAGATTTTTTGCAACTAATCAAAACTTATATGTGGGTTCACCGAAGGAATTTATTCTTCAATCTACATAATTGTAGAAGTCAAATTCAAATAGTGTTTTCAATTAAAATTAGAATAAACAGAAATAGTTGTAAATTATATAAAATATTATGTTTAATGATGTTCAATGACCTCTATTTTAACATTTTTGAGATAATCCAAATTTTCCTTTGTCATAACATATTCTTCCTTAAATTTGGCTAATATTAGATTAATATCGTTTATTTTCTTTTTAAGCCTTCGGTTTTGCGATTGCAATCGTTTTATTTTTAGTCCCTGTTTTTTAATTTTGTCCACACAAAAACTAAGACGGCCTTTTAGTTTCTCTTCACTAGGTGTTAAACAACTCGGACTATCCACAGTGTCCAAATTTTTAATCGTTTCACGCTTCAACTTACTTATACAACCAGCTAAATGAGGCTGCACACAAATCAAAGGGTCGGTTTGTTTCTGTAAGAAAATAAATAAAAAAAAGTTAATTTTTTTTAATGAAATATATTTGATGATTTAGCCAGCAAATGCTGCTCAGTTATTGGTAAACATACCCTCATACCAAAATGTTACAACACATACATTCAAATAGTAATAATAATACACTTCATTCTACACCATGGTAAAGATGCAATAAAAAAAACATGAAACACAAAGAAAAGACGCACTGCAAGCGGCTTTATCAACGATCTCTTCCAGGCAACTTTAAGGTGGAGGAGTAACTTTTAAAAACCGATAGGATGGTTGTAATAAGATGTATTTTTTGTAGTTGATACACATACATTTATTGTAAATATTATGTTTATGAAAATATGTATTATATTAAAGGCGAAGAAATTCCATAATCGGACACTTTTACTGCAAAGAAATTTGTAAAGGAACGGGAAGCGAAGACAACAAGTAGGTGTATCACTCAGGTACCTTATGCGCTGTTTCAGATAGATAAAACTTGAAGTATTAAACAGTAAGTAGTAAAAGAGATAAAGAATATGAGTATTTCTGGGTATGGGAAGAAAATATCGTAATCTGCGAAGAGAAGCAATCGCACCCAAAATCCCCGTCCCCCAGGACAAATATTGGCCAATTGTTTTTAAAAAAATTTGGCTTTCCCATAAAAAGGAATATGAATACCATTAAAAGGATGACAAACTGCCAGTAATAATAGCGTGAAACTTTATAAGGTTTAGATTTAGTCTATTAGGTAATATCGACTTTAGACATCTACACCATGATGACATCGATAAGAGATCTTTAATTATATCGTGTATACTTTGAGGTAAATCTTCCACAGTAATGACGCAAGTTTGCAAATTGTCAGCATATAAGTGGTAGTGAGCAGTTTGAGGACAAATAGAATTAATGATAAGTGAAAACAGGAGAGGGGACAACACGCCTTGTGGAACGCAGGCAGGCAATCGACTAATTGAAGTACTAGTCTTTAATCCAAATAATATGTTGTCAGCGATCGTACAAGTGAAGACGAAACCAGTCCCCCATCTCACAGTAGATATGTTAAGAGAATCCACCTACTCATATTATTTATGATATCAATTTACAGTATAACAAAGAATTCATGAATAATCGCTACAAAGTGATGCAGACATTTCTCGATTTCTCACAAAAAGCCCGGGAAACAAAAGAAAATCACAACACACAAAGGTCACATACGAGTAAATAAATGCTTTATACATCATTAAAAATTAGTCAAATATATCAATAATTTGAAATGAAAATAAAGAATGATAAGATAAATGGGCAAAATCATTTTACGATTTATACAATCTACCCAACAATAATTAGAATTTATTGCCATAATATTATTCTTCACATCACTTTTATAAAATTAGGTTACAAGGAATCAATCAATATTGTAAAAAAATATTTAAATAAAATATCTATGAATTATGTGAACACTTTTAATCAATAATATTACAAAAATATCAATCTCTACTTAACTTTCAGTCGTAAGTAACAAATTGCCTGTAGTGTTATTTTAAAAAAAAATGTACTTAGTATTTATTTTATTAAGTTAAAGGTATTATTTGATGTAATAAAAGTTAAACAGAACAAGTATCTTACGTAACAAAAATTGTTAGCAGAATAACATAGATCTTGAACGAAACAAAATAAAACATAAACACAATAAAACTAATTTCAAAAATAAAAAAGTATAATAATATAATAATGTATATTATTAATACAAATAATAAATTTGTTGTTGTTATTTAGTGCCACTAAATGTAGGCAGAGGTAATTTTATGTTTATATCTTCTAGGGGCACTGAAGCTATGTCTGGAACATCAGGTAATCTGTACCAATTCTTCACTTTTGTACTCCTTTTTTTAAAAGTCTTTCGGTAATATAAAATATAATCGGTAATCTAAAACACAATAATTATTATTATACTATTAATAAAATAGAAATATAAATTGTTACACACATTCTGTGGCCTAACCAACTCTAAATTTAGTGTGGGACGCCACATCAATCGCCAATCCACTGTACCCCACATGAAAATGACTCACTGTTTCCCAAAGCACCACTAAAATTGAACAACGGATTACTATAGTTTACATAATCTATACGAATCAAACAGCTATTTATTTTTGAAGCTTATTAGATTATTGTTTAAGTAATTTAAAAATAGTCATTCAAATATTAAACATCTTGTAAATAAAACACTCGAGTAATAGAAGTAAAAAAATAGACATGATACTCACGGATAGTCAAATGACGATAACGCATCCTTCAACAGCGAGAGCGTGACGGACACTGGCGGGTTAGAGGTGTAAGTACTAAAGCTTGCGTCCCATTATTGTAGCATGTGTATATAAAGCAAAGGCAAAAAGAAATAACCATTGATTTACTGTGTACTACGGCTCACTGTACCCCCCTTTTCTCTACTTGAAGAGGAGAAATGTAGCGGATATAAATATGTAACAATAATAAATCTTTATTGAGACAGCTTTAAATTATTAAATTATTCCTAAAAAAACACTAAATATCGAATCAATCAATTTCCGCTAGTACTCGGCTTAGTAGAGTCAGAAGACCATAATTTGGTTCGCAACATTTGAACACTGGGCTGGAATTTCGCGATACCTCCGATTTTACGGATCGTTTTTTTTTATTCTTTTTTACCGTTGGGAAATGCATTTACGCACGAAGTGTCGGACTCACCGGCGAAGCCAGTACTACCCCCTAAAACCCAACAAAACCTTCCACCGCCCACTGAAGCGGGCCACCTCACTGTGCGTTTCTTGGCTTCGCACCCGGCTGTATTGCCGGGCCCGCATAGCCCCAATATTGCAACAACAGTATCATAATGGAATTGAATGAGTTTCAATGAACTGTTTTAATGTTTTTAACCGACTTCAAAAAGAAGGTTATCACTCATGTCGAAGTTAACAATATTAGTGACAACTGACAACTCACTAGTGATGGACGAGACTCATTTATTAATATCGAGAACTGAATCGAATCGATTATGGTATAACGGGATAATAAAAAAAAACATGTTGATTGGTATGCAAATTATTTAATATAGTAAGATTAGTAAACATCTCACTAAAGTAAAAAAAGCAGTTATGAGAACTGCCGACAGAAGTGAAAACTTAAAACTAAACACAAACTACATTACTAACTATTCATTTATTATATTGTATATAGGTATGTTAAAAATATATATATTGTAAATATTCGCTGAAATCCGGGGAAGGTGTTTATGAAGAGAAATCACGGAAAAACGTATAAATCACATTTTTCTTTTTCCTTACTACTACATTATAATTATTATGAACGCAACCTTAAAAGTAAAATAAACTACTTGAATGTATTTGTATATTTGACACTTTCTCTTTCTACTATATACAATTTGACGTTGACTTTGTTTGTTTGTCCCTTTTCACGTCGAATAAAGTGCCAGATTGTCGTGTTTTTTTTTGTGTAAAGATAGAGGGCTGGAGAGTGACATAGGCTACTTGTTACCATTGGAGATTATTTCGTTTTTACGGGAAAACAAGTTATATCTATTCCACGCTAAACGTTAAAACGTACCTAGGGACGAACCTGAGCGAAGCGAGGATGAGTCGCTAGTTGTACAATAATTATTAATTACAAACAAAGAAGCCTACAGCAAATATAGCCTACTTATATCAAAAATCAACGTTACTAATATTATAAATGTGAAAGTGTGTTTGTTTGTTTGTCCTTCTTTCATGTCGAAAAGGAGTGACGGACTCGCGTCATTTTATTGTGTGGAGATAGTTGGAGGACTGGAGAGTGACATAGTCTACTTACCGCGGGAGTTTACCTAATTCCCACGGGAAAACAATTTATAATACAATCCAAAATAAAAAATATGATCAGAATTACTCGAAACTTGGTATTAATTCTGTTCAATAAAATTAAATAAATACGTGTTTTAGCATTTTTCGAAATTAATTTTATAAGGGGGTAAAATAGGGGATGAAAGTTTGTATGAAACTAACTTTTTGGAGATTATTTTTAGATTTAGCGCGAGTGAAGCCGCGCGTTCTTTATAATTATATAAGAAAAAAAGATGTTAAACTTACTTCCTTTAAAAAGGTTACAATTTTATAACAAGGAAGCGCTGTAGATTTTATGTATCTATATCCTTTTTTTGATATAGCAAAATCATCAGGTGAAAAATGCTCAGAGCATATCGTGCTTATTTTTGTTGGCATCCAATTAATTCTTCCCGTGGCGTCTATCCATTTTTCTTTGACAATAGGATCTCTAGGATATCTAAAAATATTTTAAATAAAATGAAGAAGTTTAAATTCGAAGAAATCGTTGCACAATCTTTTAGTACCTATATTTTTACGCAGAACCATCCACTATTACTAATAGGAAGAATAGGTAAGAATGGTTAACCAAAAATGGAAAATAAATAAAATAGATTTTAATTAAAACAATCATAATACAATTTTATTACAACCAAAAGATCATACCTTGTCATTTCAGAATAAGAGTGCTTAAAATTCAATGATACCAACCCGTTGAAAAACACCAATAGAATCCCATCAAAAGCGACAAAAGCCACATAGAAACCAATAAATATGTATTGATTTCTATGTGGCTCTTGTTGCTTTTGATGGGATCCTATTGGAGTTTTTAAATAGGGCATCCAGTGATTCTCAATAGAATCCGAAGTGTAGAAATAATAGATAATATAACTTTTTCTTTTATCTAAGTTAGATAATATCACTAAAGGAGTAACGAACTTTGAGAAACTAATCGTTAATATAATAAATGTAAAATATACCTTATCCTAATGTAATAAAAATAATTTAAAATTGACTTCCTAATAAATTATTCATATTTTGAAATTAGTTAATAATTTCAAAAAAAACAAAATCATTCTTACCGATGGTACGAAATACCTCCATTACTAAGATTATCCCTTCTACTTTCATTTTTGCACTCCAAAATGGAACATTTTGGCATGGTTGCGGTCTGCAGAATTGCGGATATATATTTAATCCCTTCACGAGCGCGGACACGCCGCGCCGGGGTGTCAGTTAACAATAGATTTCTTAGAATTTTAATTAATTTCTTAGAAATTTACCTGGAGGCTAGAGGTGTTAATATAAAATTTAAAACTTTAAAAGACGTACAATCCAACACGCTGTTATAACATGGCTGGCATGATGTAAGCATATGAGTGCGTAAATGTGGCACAAGGGTACGCCTACTTTACATCCAGAGTATATAAAAATTAAATTAAATGTTTACATCTCCAGGCTCCATTGTTTTTGGTTTCATTGATTGTATTACATATTTATATTGATCATGCAATTTGTTAATGTTAGTTATTAGTTAATTATTTTGTAAGCCGTCAAACGGGTTTAATTCCACGTATTTAATCTTCTAAATATTCTTGGATGGAAAAAGAAACTAATATTAATTGAAGAAGTGCCATTATAACAGAAGTAAATAAAATGATTGTTGTTGTTTAAAATACTGATTTAGGCCCATCGGTTACAAAAAATTGGTATTAAAATCGTCAAGGACTTCAAGGTGTCCGTAATCCGTTTGATTTTGATAGTTCGTAACTACTAACTAGCTGTTTGTTTTTTTTTCTATAATGGCCTACAGTTGTGTTAATAAATGCAATCCATTCTGCCAGTGTCACGTTTTGCGAGGAAGACACGAATGAGATTAAAAGCTGTTTGCTGTTTGTGCGTACTGCGTGTTCGATTGATTTTTTGCTTGTTGAGTTTTTTTTAGGTGGACTCCTTAGGGACTATGTATTTACTATTTACCACAAACTATAATATAGAGATTGGTATTTACTATTGTGATTAGTACCATGGATGATTAGTACTTGTCAAAGGATCTCATTAGTACTAGGGATGTGACTTGGGAGGAGAAAAAATCTATTACTAAATAATCGATTTTTCTTTCTTTAATGTATATATAATACAATAAAAATAAATCAATTTGTAAAACAATCGATTAACCAAAAATTAATGGATTTTATCGAACTATTATATAAATATTATTATTGTACATAATAATAAAATTACCAAATCGATAACTAAAGCAATAATCTGCTAATTTATTAAAACTGAAAAACAAACCAAGTTTTTTTTAACCATATTTGAATATGTTATTAAAAACAGTCTTCTTACAAATTACGTGCTTGTTACGTCTACACTAAAAATGGAAAATAAAAACTTAAAAAAACCGACTTCCAGGCACTTAAATGTAAACAAAAACTAAACGGGGGTTTTCATTTAGAATAGATACCTAATCTGATATTTTCGAAGTCGGTACCAGCCGACAACATTTTAAGATATGAATATCTAAGAGGTAAATATGTATTTTACTTATCGAAATACATATATTAGATTTGTCTTGCATCTGCTGGCACTAACTATGACAATATCTGATTAGGTATCTATTCTAAATCAAAACCCCCTTTTTTATATTTTTACATTTTAGTGCCTGGAAGTCGATTTATGTTCATTTTTTTGAGGAGGAGGGGTGAGAGGTACTCCCATTTAAAAGCGAAAACCGCGGAGGCTAGTAGTTTTCGAGATATTTAATTTTTAAAATTTTAATTTTTGAGGTTAAATTATTGTGAACACCTTTAAGCATTGCACTCAAGGTTCAATTTACATTGTTGTATATTTCAACTAGAATAATTACATAAACACAATTGGTTTTACGACAACTTTGGCATGTATAATAATAGGTACCGGAAATAGTGGCTACGGAGTAAGAAAAAAGTTTTAAAAGTTCTAGTCGTTGTGGTCGTGTGGTGTGTCGGTCACTGTTCTAACCTAATCTAACCTACCAAAAAAGAAAGGTTTCTGCCAAAAAAAACCTAAACCTATTTTGAGAAAGCTTTCCTGCGTGGAAATAAAAAACAATGCAACTGACACTAAAACTGGCATTTCAAATTGGCGTCGCTTTCAAGCGCGGATCCAGAGTTAAATTTTGGGGGGGGGGGATCATAGGCTGAAATATGCATTTAATAAAACAGTAACTTGGCAAAATCTGTACATGATTTTTTTTATAAACAATGACTGTAAACATGTAACGTATAGTGTACAGAATATAGAACCCCAAACAACATTTTTATCTGTATGTCTGTTTGCTTGTGCGGATTCACGCAAAAAGTACTGAACCGTTTTTAACCAAAATTTTGTGTAGTAATAACTTATTACTCGGGTCAACATTAATCTATTAATCCTTCTATTCTCAAACTTCAGGTTCTTAAAAAATATATAATATATTTTGCTTTTTATGTCATGGGGGCTCTGGGTCCGCGCTTGGTCGCTTTTCTTATTTAGCTAATTCTGAAATTGACATATCATATAACTAATATAGTATGTACCAGTTTATATTTGTTATTACATACGAAAAAATCAAGATTTTAACTATTAAATTGTGTATTTTTTTCACTGTACAGTTGAGGCTAAAATCGATTTTTAATATTTAGGGAATCGATTATTAAAATCGATTATAAGAAAAAATAATCGATTCATATAAAAATCGATTATTTTCAACATCCCTGATTAATACTCTATGGTTTTTTATTCGTTGACTTGATCTTTTTAAATACTTACTTTACGATCGTCATGTAGTTAGGCCCTGTCCGCACTGCGATATATCACCGCGCGATTTTTATTCTCGCGTATTATATTCCGTGATCGAAATTGTACTTATTACGCACTGCGAATAAAATTTCGTACGATTTTTGTCAGTTTGATGCAGTTCCCGACTGAGACAAACGTCTAAAATGATAAATCTACTATATCTACTGAGACATTTTAGTAATCTAAAATGATGTTTTTCTACATTAAATATCAAGAGTTGCGAAAATACAGTAAAAAGTTTTCGGATATTACAGAATGACTACAAAATCATTCGATAAACCAATAGCGTTGGTGCACGACTAAGCGAAACGCGCGAATTTTATTTCGCAGTGCGGCCATAGCCATACATATTATATACTGTACAAAACATTCGCGCGGAAATAATCCGCGCCGCATCGCGTTCTATTTGCATCAAATCACAGATTTTTTTTCCGCGCGAATTTTTAACCGCCAGTGCGGATACTCCTATAAGATTCAATGTGTTACAGAATTGCGAGAATAAAAACGTGCGATGAAATATCGCAGTGCGGACAGGCCGTTATACCTATCCCTATGTCAAGTGCCAAGTGTCAACTGAAACTGACAACTCGAACGTGTGAAATGTGAATGAATTGCGCTATAATGGCACATATAATATATATCAATTATGAAATTTACTGAACTGGTGGCAGTAAACACCTATTTGCACACCACAGTAATGTCTGGCAGGGATGAAATTGGACAAAGTACAAAAGGCCATTCCAATGTACCTTTTATTAGACTATTTAACACTAAGAATCAGAAATCAGAATATTAAAACAAAAATGCATCAGAAATGTAGCAGGAGCAGTCCTGAAAGGTTTGTATGATTTGGCTATTTGGGATATAGAAATATAACTAAAAAATATGTTACTAAAATCCATATTCTCTGACCAGACAATTACTTCTGACTACAATAGAAAGTTGATAATAATTAATAAAATGGATAATTAGTCAGCACTTATCTCTATCTACAGTAATATTGTATAGAGGTTAATTTTGTAAGCTTGTATGTAAAGAGTAATCTTTGAAACTACTGATCTGTTTTTGAAAATTCTATCACTTATAGAAAGTTACAATACCACCTAGTACTTTGTAGCTATTTTTATTCTGATTACAATGTGTTTACTGTCATAAATCATCTTAAATTCAATTGAAGTCATAATAGTACATAACAAATGCTCTAGTAACAACTAAATCTGAGCTGACATCAACAATAGAAATACTAGAAATAGTTTTAATTACAGTTGAGCACTATTCATAGAGTTAGCTACTAATTGAGCAGAAGCAGCAATCTACTCATCAATATGTGCTTCCAAATAACAGGTAAACCATATTTCATAATATAAACACTATTATGTATTGTGATGTAACTGAAAAATTACAAGCTATAGTTTTGCATAATTATATCTATTACTGTCTAGAGTAGCCCAAGTTTGTAATGTTATGAATACTTGACAAAGAATTCAATAACACTATATTTCTTAAAAACAGTTTTAATATATTTATCTCTTAAAATATTTAAAATATATTTTCATTTATTAACTCTTTTAATCCTGGTGGGAATTATACATTTGACTTTGATAAATTTTAAGATAGTAATATCTAAATAAAATTCTTTATTTTGATTTCAGAAGTGCTACACATCTCTGAACAGCATAGTGGTAGCTTAGGTCTACTATATTTCTACTCAAGATGAGCATAGGCAACATGCATGGGAGTATTTCTACTTTAGCAAATGTGTGACTTTATTATGATTATGTATCTAAAAGTACTTAGTGCTCATTTTATTATTAAAATGCAGAAGAAATGTTGTTATGTAATAATTCCATTTCTTTGATAATAAATAATGTAATATATACAGTAACAGTAGTCTTTAATTTTTCCTTCTTACTTTAACCTGGACTTTATCATAAAGTAAGGTCAACAAATAATAAAGAATTTTTCAACAAATAGAACCCTTTCTTGACAGATAAAGTAAGGGATAAATTCATTAGTATCACCTAGATATTTACAGAGGATTTTCCAATTTTCTATCAACTTTTTAAATTTTGTGGTATAAATTAGAAGTAAAAGATCAAGATTTATGTTTCATTAATGCTGTATGACTTAAATACATATCTTAGATTTATATTTTACGTCTGCTAGTAAGACCCCTCCTAACTCTATAATGTGTATGTATGTAGGTAACAAAATTTAACTTTTTAGTTGATTCAGAAAAATAAGTTGAGTGATACATAGACACAGGAATGACTAAAGGAATACTTACCTACTTTTTGTATAATTAAAAAAATAAGTTATGAAGATATAATATTATTATGTTTAAAACACGAATTTTCAATTTAAAATCTTTATGGAAATTCATTACTAAAATAGCTAAAATAAAGGTAATTTATATCATAAGATAGGTAAGTTCAAAAAAAAACTAAATAATTTAATTCATTTATTATTTATATAAGTATAAAATCAGTCAGTTCGTTTGAAAAAAAGACGCATTTGGCACGTAGTTTACTAATTAATATGGCTACTACAAAATTGCAACACAGCACCAGCATTTTATAAAAACCTCTAGGTAGAATCTTGAAATATAATTTTATTACAATATTAAACATTTCATACATTAAATTTACATAATATATTTCATACAAATTTAAAAACTGGATTTTATATCAAAATTGAAGTCGTCTTTATTTTTTACGTTTTGTAAAAGTGTCTCCTCAATGCGTTACACAAACTAATAGGATATCAAGTTTACAAATAACTCTAGTCTAATATCTACATATTATTCTACATTTATTTACAATGAGGTTCATGATAACAGCTCTTCTAAATACATAATTACTTAACTATTCTCTCTTATTTTTCAACAAGATATGGCAAGGAAAAGAAACTTAAAAAGACCTTGATACAAGATCCCAACAATTTTGTACAACATTAGTATATCTACTGTTATTTACAATATCTAAACATACTCTTCTGATGGCTTCGGCGTTCCGTTTGGTAGTCTCAGGGAGGAAGACATGCGACCATTTACTGAGTCTGGTAGCTCGGCAATATCTTTAAAAACTCCAATCATGCTCTCAAAATTTGGACCCCAATTTAATAGATAATCCCAGCCGAGAGTAGCTGGAGCTGGTGATCCATTTGCTTGTCGATAAAGGGCAGATCCTACGTGAGGAGCTAAATCATCATCTGACGCAACCAAAGTACTTAAAGAACCCCGAAAAGAAGAATCAAAGCTTTCATACGGTGGTGGTAATATAGGTTTCTTATTGCTATTGCCATTACTTATGTTTTGTCTTCTGACATCTTCTGGTTTATCGGCATTGATGCTGTTATTATCGTATTCTATTTCAGAACATGTAAAACTATCATTAGCACTTTCATCCTCTGAACCAGTCGAACTTCTGTTATCAACAGGTGGCGAATGATGCCTATGAGACATGTGATGACTAATAACTCCAACCCGAGGTGCTTCACTTGAACTAGAAACTGCATCAAGAGTAGAGACTAGACTCGATGTTCGTTGTCTCGCATTCATCCTTTCAATTTCTTCTGCAGTTAACCCGACTGCTCCAGATCCTACAGAAACTACTTGTGGGCCCTGTGGTGTAGCACTGGGGGTTTTTCTTCCAGCAGAAGAGCTTTGGCCACTAAGTTGTGACATAACAGGACTATTTAAACTACGCTCGCTATTGCTATGTAAAGCGTCTTTACCAACTCCTCCAGAACTCGATGTTGTTGCTAATAAAGCACTTTGAAGTGGTTTCCCAGATATATCGTGAAGTGTAAGAATTCTTGGTTGCTGACTTAATTCACTGCTAGGCGATAACCTTGCTAGGGGTGTAGTCTGATGTTGTCTTGACTGGGGAGGTTGTTGTGAAGTTTGTGTGAGTACTCTCGGAGGATATCCACTAGGGTGATGTGGTGAATGTCTATGCTGAGGAGTTTGATGCTTGTGATGATATCCTGCCATTGGTGGTGGTGTAGCTTTATATTTTCGAACTCCGCTAGCTTCTCTAAATCCTTTATAATGATAAACAATATCTATATCAGAAGGTGCTATTGAACTCGCATTTTCTAAGTCATAATGTTCAGGTACTTCAGAATTAATATCCATACCATTAGGATGATCATGCGTGTGATGTGACGTATTTGCTGAAGGAGGTGGTTGAGGATGATGATCTTCTCTAAGAGCAGGGCTTTTACCAACAACTTCACGTTCTATAATGTCTGGTCTCTGAGGTCTTGGGGCATCTAGATTCATTATTTCACGATCTTTATATTTTTTTGACAGCAGCTCAGGTCCAACAATATGTCCAACGTTACGCATTATATCTGCGTTTTCGGAAATGTAGCTGTTCAAACTTGTTTCATTATTATGCACATTTCTATTCATAAGACTATCATTAGTTCCAGCTATTAAATTTGGGGCGTTTAACATAGCAGGACCACCGTTTTGTTTTGTATGAACCATATTACTTTTTCCAATAGGGGTGTTACTTTTTTCTTTCTTTTTCTTACGAACTCGATAAACAATGTATGATACTATAAAGGCACAAATTAGTATGACAAAGAATGCTGCGACAGCTGCGATTCCTATAGATAAAGGACTTGAATTTTTAGAGAGCCCAGCGACTAATTCACTATGACAACCAGTGAAAATTTTACCAGATTTGATTACTTCTTTAAATATACTGCCATTTCCGATAAATGGTTGAACTTCGTTGTTAACAGTGAAATTGGCCAGACAACCTTCAAACTTATTAAATGCTGATATTAATTCAGATTTTATTCCTCCCAAAGATATAGTTGTTAAATAAGGATCTAAGAAATCGTGAACCCCAGCTGCATCTAACTCTTCACCAACATTTCTCCCATCTACAATTAATCTGATACTTCGCCCGTGTCCTAGTAAGGTTATATTATGCCAGTTCCCATCAGCAATATCTTCTTGTTCTATCTGACTCATATTTACTACAGTATTTTGTTTAGAAGTGTAACTTATTCTCCCACATAATAATTCTATTAGGGTGTAATATTTATCTGTAGCAGCATAAAAAAGAACTCCATCTTTCTTATGCGTTCTAAATAAAAAAGACAAATGTTTGGCAGGATTCGTGGCTTTGATATTTAATTTTCCTTTGCTTGATTTTCTTTCCCAAATTGTACTTCCTCCATAGAATGAATCCAATAATTGCATTCTCCGATGCTTCTCTGAAATCCCATATGTTATATATCCATTTTCGCCAACTGAAATACTTTGAAGAGAATTTTGGCAATCAGGCGAAATTAAACTGTTATCACATTTACAATAGTGCGTTTTCCATGTATCATAACATTCCCCAAAGCCGCATATATCCGCCTTATAACAAGCTCCTTTTTCTTTTCTATCACAATTAGGTTCGACTCCCTGGCCATTTAAAGGGTTAGTCAAATTTAAAACTCTACCATTAATAGTAATACTATGCATACAGCCAACAAAATCATCTGAGTGAATTTGTCCAGGACGTTCCAGCACTGGATCAGATTTATGAAGTCCACCAACCAACAAAGGTTCGTTGTTAAAGTTTAAAGTTCTGAAAGAAAAAAATAAACATAATTTTTATGAAAAATACATTAAAAATGTTTATTATTAAGAAGTTATAACCTTAAATACTTCATGCATAAATTCATACTTTAATCATAGTTAGTTAGTTTCAGTATTTTTTTTCTTTTACTATGTTTAATCTTAATTTAAATTGAAAAGGCCTAATTAATTTTTACATACCCTGCTTGTCCCGTGTCATCACCATAACATAGGTCATCGCCAGGCTCGCATTCACTACAAACATCACCGTGGTCAGTACAAGAAGCCACACTTAGAGATATGACTCGGCCATTTCTTGTCGCTGTTAGCTTATACCATTTTCCATCAGCAAGATTTTTATCACTATTTATTAAGGCTACTGAAGTGATTGAAGTTCTAGCGCCTCCAAAGGAAAATACTGGTTTTCCTCCAAGTAATTCTATTGCAATAAAGTCTGATCTACCTCCAGAATGTGCACCATAATTATAAAGCAGCAAAGCATCAGATTTCGTAGTTGCAAATATTATTGTTATATCATTTGTTGATGCATCTAATGCTGGGAATTGCATATAAGAGAGTTCATTGAAACCGAACGTTGAACTTTCACAATGGGTACCGTAGCGACCATTTGTACAACTGCACCGATATCCAGGTTTAAGACTTATACAAATTCCGCCATGCATACATGGGTTTGGTCTACACGAGTCTACAAGTGCTTCACATTGATTGCCACGGTAACCAGGTCGGCATAAGCAAAAGAATGCATTTCTATCGGAACTTTCTTTACATGACCCACCATTTTTACAAGGATTGCTACTACATACATCATCCCGTTCTAATTCACATGTTTTTCCTTCACGTCGTAATGGACATATGCACACAAAGTCATGCCCTTGCTTGCGGCATTGTCCTCCAAATTCGCAAGGATTTGGCGAACAAGGATCTTGTCGTTTCTCGCAATTTTCACCCATAAATCTATCTGTGCAATGGCATACATAATCATGATGTACGAGAGGTGATGTCAGTATTAAAGTAGAACTTTCAGTGCTTTTTGTACCTTCTAATACATTAATTGAATCTGTACATATACCGTCATTCTGACACTGAAGTGTAGAACAAGGATAGAATGGAACTATCACCTGTTTTTTTAAAACTTTCCGAATTTCAGATACTTTGGATTTTAAGTATTTTTCAGTGTTTTCTTTTTTCCAAATTGCGTTGTTTTCTTTAATAGCAATTGTCAAATCTATATTTTCATTGACTTCATTTATACTGTATAAATAAATATTTTCTTTATTTTTCATATCCATTCTTAAAATTTCGAGCAATATCCTGTAAAAGTGTGTAAGAAAGTCGGATGATGTCATATTTACTATCCTTGTTGTCACTGATTGTTCAACCGTATTATTATCGAAAGAAAAGTACTCAACACTTATAGATGAAACTACTTCTTTGTGTATACCGTCACTTCCAGATACTGAAAAAGAATATCCTTGCCCAGGCCTAACTGCATTTGTATAAAGGTCACACCCCTTCCGAATATTGAATATTGATATCGTACTATCTGAGGTGGAATCTTTTATAATTTGGCATTTATAATCGCCAACTATATCTGGATCATTGGGCTTAACATCAGCAATTTTTCCGGACGGTGTTTTATTATTAAATGTGTGAACGAGAACATGAACCGACCTAGGTGTTGGAGGGTTGTCATTTCTATCTAAAATTTTTATCTGAATCGTGTAATTAGAGTGCATTACAGGTGTTCCACTATCTTCAATTTGTATAGTGACATCTAAGTAAGGAGTTACTTCTCTATCAATTTTCTTTGTTGTCAACAAAACCCCCGTATGCTTATGAACTTTAACGTAACTTTGATGCCTACCACCAACTATAGCATATGAGAAAGGAGCACCATTAGGTGGTAAGTCAGGATCTTTAGCGGCTAACGTCGTTATACTCGTATTAGGAGGTTCATTTTCATAAACAGCACCATTGAAATTGACAACATCAAAAATAGGACCATTGTCATTTATATCAGTAACTGTAATTTTGACAGTAGTAGTTCCCGTTTGTGGAGGTATTCCTGTATCAATAGCACCAATTATTAGTGAATATACCGATAATGTTTCCCGATCTAAATGCCGGGCAACTTCAATTTCGCCATTTTGAGAATCAATTTTAAAGTCTTGATTACTATTACCACCAATAATGGAAAAGCTGAATTGATTATTCTGTGGCCGGACATCTTTATCAACAGCTGTTACCTTAATAACTTCATGTCCAATATTTGCTCCTTCGGAAACACTTGCTTCATAATAATGTCGTAAAAATTCTGGGGGATCGTTACCATCTTGTATTGATATAATTACTTGAGCTTCATCAGTATCGTTACCATGGATACCACCAGAATTTTTTGCTAACACTGTTAAGACTACTCTATTTTGCGTTTCTCTATCTAAGTATCGCGCGACACGTATTACGCCTGTTTGTGAATTAATACTAAAGCCTTTATCATTACTTGATCCAACAAAGAGGTAATATATTATTCCATCATCACCGCTGTCTTGATCTGTTGCTTGAATAACACCAACTTTAGCCCCAACCTCAGCTGATTCAGAAACATCAAAGTGAAATACGGGTTGTATAAATTTAGGATAGTATTCATTAACCCCTGTTATGTAAATAATTACTTCAGTCGTATTACGCATTATTGAATTAGGATTTTCAGCCATTATTTGTAAGCTATACATTGCTTTTTCTTCATAATCAAATATTTCTTTCGAAAATATCTCTCCGGTATTTTGATTTATGTTAAATAGAGATAACATTTCATTGTTTATGTGATATTTTATTACTGCATTCTTAGAAGAATCTATATCAATCGCTTGTACCTTGAATATGAAACTGTTGACTGGTGAATTTTCAGGTAAGTACGCAATATATTTTGTTTGATTAAATTGGGGAGCATTGTCATTTATATCCGTTAAAATAATGGTTACAGTTGCCGTGGTTTCTTTTGGCTTAAAACCAAGATCTTTAGCAGTAATGTTTAATCGATATTCCTGAATTTCATCATAATCTAAAGGTCTTAATATACTGATTGCTCCTGATACTGGATCAACTCTGAATTCTTTTCCTTCATTTCCTGATGTGATAGCATATCTTACAATACCATTTGGTCCTGCGTCTGCATCCTTTGCATTTAAAGTGAGAATCGAGGAGCCAACTGGTTCATTTTCCGGTACTATAACTTGATAGCTTAATGCCGTAAATTTAGGACTATAAATATTTTCACCTGTAACTACAAATGTTAATTTCGTTTCATCCCATTGTGGAGGCACACCACGATCAACTGCTTTCACTTTTAAATCATAATATTGTCCAGTGTAATAAAACTGTTTACTTACGACAACCCAACCATTTAATTTATCAATAGAAAAATAAGTTGTACCATTGCCATCAAAAACGAAATATTCTATTTCTGCGTTGATTCCAAAGTCTAAATTATCTTCCGCTTCTAATTTTATAATTTTTTCTCCAACTATAGCATCCTGTGGTACAGGGATTAACTTTTCATGATTTTTAAAGCGAGGTTTATTGTTGTTTGCATCAACGACGTTAATAGTTACTAAACATTCTGACGACATAGGAGGCTTGCCATTATCAGTTGCTACAACAATAACAGAGTAAGAGTTTTCAGGAGATGAATTGATTGAAGTTCTTTTGTAATTCATCACAAACTTACTTAGAATTTCACCTGTGGCTGGATCTATAGTAAAGAGATCTGAAGTTTGTTGTAATGAGTATGAAATTATGGAATTTGGACCCTGCTTATCTTTATCTGTAGCTATGACTTGACCAACAAAGCTGTTCTTCTTTTGCAATTCAGGGAAATTGAAGCTATAATACGAATATTCAAATTCAGGTGCATTATCATTTTGATCTTGTATAGTTATAGTTAAAGGTGTTTCTGATCGCCAAGCACCGTCAATTGCAGCCACTTTTAAAATATATTCATCTTGTAGTTCTCTATCTAGAGAACGAGCAACAGTAATATTACCACTAATAGCATCTATTACAAATTTTTCACCGGGGTTATCGACAAAACTATATGTAGCATTAGCATTTGGACCAATATCTAAGTCAGAACTTGTAACCCTTATTACAAACGAACCAATTTCTGCATTTTCGGTAACGTTCACACTGAAGAGTCGTGTAAATCTGGGTGGATTATCATTTTTATCTAAGACAGATACTAAAACTGTTGAGGTACCAGTTAGTTGAGGAACACCATGGTCAACGGCTTCAACCAATATTTCATAAAACGGAATGGACTCCCTGTCTAACGCAATGTTAGTAAATATTTCTCCACTATCTGAATCAATAACAAATGTTTCTTCATAGTCGTTTATTAATCTAAATGATATTCTTCCATTTTCATTAGAATCATCGTCATGTGCTTCAATTTTAGTAACTAACTGTGGAGGTGATTCTTCTTCGGGTACTGTAGCATTATATAATAGATTTTCAATAATAGGAGCATTGTCATTTGCGTCAGTAACTTTAATTTCAATTTCAATAAAAGATTTAAGAGGTGGATTGTCAGAATCTTTTACCTCAAACCACACTTCGTAGAGAGGCATAGTCTCATAATCAAGTCCTTTACCAGTAATAAAAATTTCTCCGCCCATTGGTTCGACCCTTAAAGCATCTCCAACGTTACCTCCAGCAACTGAGTATTGTAATAAACCTGTTGGACCTTTCTTTGGGGATGTTGCAGAAAGTCTTGTCACTAGAAGACCTTCTGGCGTATCTTCAGAAAATGTAAAAGTTAATTTGTTATTTATTGTGAATTTTGGAAAGTTTTTCCCTGATTTTGGGATGAGTATTAATTCAGTTGAACTTTGCCTTGGAGGTGAACCACTATCAGTGGCAAGAATTATTAGATTAAACGTTGTTCTGTTTTTATCTTTGTACTTTAACAAATTTTCTTTTGCTTTAATAACACCCGTATCCTTATTAATACTAAAAATATTTTGTAGATCACCTTTTAAGTCATATACAATTTTCTTGTTTTGACCAACATCATTATCTTTGGCTTTTACACCAAAAACGAAATCACCAGAAATTGTACGCTCCGAAATATAAACTTCGTAAATCGCCTGAGGAAATATTGGTGTGTTATCATTTTCGTCTTCCACAATTACCGTAAGATTTGCTGTTGCAGTTCTTGGATCCGTAGTTGAAGAATCTTGAGCCATTATTATTAAATAATAAGTATCCCATTCCTCTCTATCCAAGGAAGCGTTCGTAGAAATTATACCTGTCACAGGTTCAATTTTAAATCTTTCTGATTTGTCGCCAAGAAGGCTATATCTAATTCTTGCATTATTTCCGATATCCTTATCCAAGGCTTTTGGTTGAAGAATAATAGTATCTGGTGGTAGGTTCTCCTTCACATTAGCTCTGTAACTCTGCCTTTCAAAGTCAGGATTATTGTCATTCACATCTTGAACAATGATTTTTACTGTACCGGATCCTGTAAGGGGCGGCGATCCTGAAAAATAAATATTTTCATATAGATCTTTTCTACGATAATTTTTATAACGAGATCGGTATTTATTAAGTGGCAAAATTTAAAATATAAAATTAAAGACCATTACAAACTTTTCGAATTTTCAAAATAATGTTATAAAATTGACAGTTTGTGTGTGTGTGCGGACTCAAAAAATATGAATAAAATTCAAAAACGGAAATAGCTTATTTACTAGATTAACATATAGGCAACTTTTATGGATCCCGTGAACAAAGCAGTGGTTAGTTTTTTTGTGGAAAATATAGTACTTACATATAAATAAAGTCTAAAATAAACTAAGTGACATTGTATGTCCCAAAAAAAGGTAATAGGGCTGAATATTGGCAGCCTTTTTTTCCGGAACATGTTTCCTTTTTTTATTTATATTACCTTTTTTTAGAACGTACAATGTCACTTTTTAAATTTTAGAAGTTATATTTATGTGGAATGTAAGATTTAAGTTATTGACTGGGTAAAATATATATGTATATAAATAATAATCAATTGTGTAAGCGCATCACTTCAGACGGCTGCATCTATTTGGCTTATTATTTTTTTGTTAGGTTTGTAATTGTCAAGACCATGGACCCCGTGACCATGGATGCTGTAAAGCATTCGAAACGTCGGGAAACAAAAATACAAATAAATCCGCGACAAAATCCGAAAAGATAGTTTTATTTAAAAAGACAAGGTTTTTATAAAAGAAATTATTTGAAAACTTGTACGCAAAATTCAAAAGTTTGAGTTAGAAAATCTTCATATACAAAAGTTAAAATATTGACAGATTGACTTTCAGTTGTTTATTTTTTTACATTGCTTTATTTGCTACATCCGAATAAAAAATTAATTTGTTGTTTGGTTGTTTTGCGAAAAAAGTAGGTAGTAAAAAAGTAGTAGAACTACTGAATGCAGTTCAACTGTTAAGTGATACTGTTATAATATCATGAAAACAATATTTAAAAACGAAATTGACAGTTTTGTGAAAATGAACAATTATTTTATTTATAACTGACATTGCTCGCGGCTCCGCCCGCGTTCAGATGACCAAAGACCAAATTCTTAGGTTTTACATATTAGTATACTGTCTATTACAATTTTTGTATTTTTTCTCAGAAATGAGACATTTTCCCGCGGTAAAAAGTATCCTATATGTTGACCCAGATAACCAGCTATCATCATAACAAATTTCATGAAAACCCCTCCAGTGGTTTTTCTGTGATGCGGTAACAGACAGACAGACAGACAGACAGACAGACAGACAAAAATTCTAAAAATAAAATCTAAAAAATAATAAATAAAATCTAAAAAATTCGGCCTCTGTATCGATAATAATGTTTATTTCAATAAGATTTTCCAAAAAATATCTAATGTACAGATTCGGCTTAGTTACAATTTTATTATATATATACTATACATACCTAATCAAATAAATATATTCGAAGTCGGTGTGCTTTGCTTTGTATCGGCTGGCACCGACTTCGAATATATTTGATTAGGTATGTATAGTTAATTAAAACTACCAATCAGTTATTTTTTTCCTTTTTAGCTTTTAGTGATTTTTTTGAAATCGGTTTTTATTTTTTTGTTAAAAAGTTTTTATTTTTCCCTTTTTAGTGTAGACATAGTAGTAGCAAAGTAAGAAGAAAGTATTTAATTCTGAAAAATTCTGGCTCTAAAATCCGATTCTAACGTGTTAGGCTTGTCAAATCAAACAAAATAAACCCAAAAGCAAAGTATCTACTATTAGCCGTGGAAGAGTTCCACTTATCCACCTTCTGGCCTTACGTCAGATCAGGTCAACGATACCGAAACACTGCACTATTAACGGAAATATGACGTCGATAACGAAAGTCAATATGAAAATTAGAAGTAGTTTAAATTCATCATTAGCTATTTTTTCACCCTTATTGTGAACATAACATTGGGTCTTTAAAAATTATGTAGATATTAGTCTGTTAGTACCTATATAATATGTATGTTAGTTAATAAGTCCATTTTAGCCGAGTTCTATTGTATAATTGTACTCTTTTCTTCTAACTTTGGAAAGATGAAGTAGAAAAATTAAAAAAACAGCTGTATAGGAGCTTGCTAAATTCTTTAAATTAAAATTAATATACAGAATTTACGTTAAATATCCTTTATGATACTGGGTAATTTGAGCTACGATCATTAAAATTAAATTTTTGTTGTATAATATCTTTAAGAAATAATGATATGACAAACAAACTTATTTTTGAAAATAATAATGTAGGTATTGCGAAAACTTAAAAAAATATAATACTTTCTTAGATTTACGCGAATATTTGACATTTTAAATAAAACTATCTTTTCGGATTTTGTCGCGGATTTATTTGTATTTTTTTTTTTTTTTTTTCTGTAACAACTATATCTTTAAGACATGTAACACCTCAGTCTCTCCCGTGACCATGGATGCTGTAAAGCATTCGAAACGTCGGGAAACAAAATTAAAAAAATATTTTAGTGTGTAAATATGTTAGTGATAACAACAATTCGGCAGTACGGAACCCTCGATGCACGAGTCGAAATCATACTCACATTTGAAAATCATTACAACCAGCAAATTATTATTTATAACATAAAGCCAAAGAGTTTGTGAAGTGAGTTGAAGCCGCGGGAGGTACTGCTAGTTGTAAATATAACAGAAATATTTATCATCTTTAGATTCAAGGTAAAATATGCAATATCCTGAACGAATAGACATACCAATGCATATAAAAATATACATATGCATATAAGCCAGTCTGTGTTTACGATATTGTAAATTAATGTAAGTTTTTAATATTTTTTACCTGTATCCATAGCAACAAGTGAAAGTATATATTCATCCTGGGTTTCACGATCCAGTGTTCTTAACAAAGATATTTCGCCAGTTGAAGCGTTGATTTTAAACACATCTGCATCACCTTCTTTTATAAAATAGCGAACTTGATTATTAAAGGGTGGCGAATCAGCATCATATGCATGCACTGTTAATATATAGCCACCATTTGGTGGGATAACATTTTCCATTACGTATGCTAAATATGGAGAGTCTAAAAATGTTGGAGGATTATCATTTATGTCCTGTATGGAAATGGATAATTCAGCTGTATCAAATCTCACGTCATCTTTAGAACAATCTTCCGCTCTTATTGATAGTATATATCGAGACTTTCTTTCAAAATTAAGGTTTTTAGCTACTCTTACTATACCAGTATCTTCACTGATACTAAAATCTCTATTTTCATCTCCTGAAGCGATAGAATATCTAACTCTGCCATTAGCATCCTCATCAATATCTGTTGCAGACACCTGTAATTCCAATATAATTTTTTTTTTTCAAAACAATTCTTACTTAATCTTAGAAAAATTCCAAGTAATAAAAAATATTTTATAACTTAACATAAATAATAATGAAATAAGTAGTAGTACTTACAAAAACAACTAGTACTTCTTATTACCAATACAATAATTTAAATCTAAAATTTACCTCTAAGACACTTGCTCCAATACTAGCGTTTTCTGGAACGGATGCACTGTATTGTTTTGGATCGAATACAGGACTATTATCATTCTCATCTAAAATGATTATATTTATTTTAGCGCCGGTTATATTAGGTGGTTCTCCTCTGTCTTTAGCAGTAACTGATATTGTATAATTTGATTTAAGCTCCCTATCAAGCTTTCCAGTAGCACGAAGTATACCATCCACATTCCCCAACGTAAAATATCCATTCACTTCCGGACTTGACTCCATGAAATATTCAACATATCCATTTCGCCCTTCATCTTTGTCTATGGCTTTAATTGTCATGATAACCGTGTTGAGGGGTATGTTTTCCGAAATCGCTGTTGTATTAGAGGATATAAATTCAGGAGCCATGTCATTTACATCTTTTAATTGAATTGTAACCTGTAAATATAGAAAAACAGCTTGTACATTTTTTATAATAAGCCTAATTACCATAATGCAAATTACGATTATATATGCTAAATCATTTTATTTCTTTGGAATACCATACATCGTAAAAATTCATTAATGATAGAATATACGTATAAAGTCAAACAACGATATGAGTATTGAGTAATATGGAATAAATAAACTCATACCTGCACTGTAGCTGAAAGTTGTGGTTCAGGAGGCTTAGCTGAGTCTTTGGCTGCAACTATTAAATTGTATATTGGCAGTGTTTCTCTGTCAAGTAATTTAGCCGTTATGATTGTTCCGTTAGATGTTATTTTAAAATCTTGGTTATCATCTCCAGATGTAATGCTATACGTCAATTTACCATTCAGTCCTGTAGTAAACAAATGTGATTTTTAATTTGTGTATAAAACTAGCTATTACCCGCGGCTCCGCTCAAACTTCTGATCGTTACCAAACTTCACAGGATCACCTGCTGGGCTAACCTAAAGGTTGCCTGAAAATTTCATCAAAATCGCACCCGCTGTTTTGGAGGCCATAGGGAACATACATACACACTATCATCGATTTTTATTTTATTTAATCAACAATTTAAATGTATTTATTGAACAGAAAACGGAGTCTTACATGAAAATTTGGTGACACACCAACTGCAGCGTCATCTACTGGGTCCAATTATGTTTTTAAACCATCCAGGAACCCATTGAAATATACACAAAAAAAACATCCACATCGGTTCAGCTATTTCGGAGGAGATAGGTGACAAACACACGAACAGAAGAATTATATATATTAAGATATCATGTTGCGGTTTGGGAATGCAATCGTAATTTCTTTAATTTTTTACTTGTTCATAGAGGTATTAATAATAAAGTTTTAAGTAAGTACAATGTTTTGCTTTCACATGCCAATTCAAACTACGAGTATATTACAGTATGTTTCATTTTTAAAATGAGTTTGTTTTTATTCACAAAATTTATTGCATTATGTTATATTATACCTAATGTTATTCTCAATGTCTCTTTTCATCTATTTTATAATAGGTATTATGATTTTATAATGTTAATATAGTCTTTATAGGGTATGCCCCATGTCGAGATTTAGAAACAATATGTTTCCATTTCATGTTGTTTGTTATATTTTATTTGCTATAAAATATAAAAACTTTTATGTTGTTATAAAATGTAAAAACATACAGTAAAGCTTGTATTTAAGTAACTTCATTAATGATGTAGATTACTTGCCTGAATCCATATCAGTGGCACTAACTGTAACGACAGAAGAACCAATCGGGGCATCTTCTAGAATTTCATTTGAGAAACTCATTGGGTCAAAGATTGGGGCGTTGTCGTTAAGATCAATTATGTTAATATAAACGGTTACAGTCCCGGATAAAGATGGATGACCATTGTCTTGTGCTTGAGCTACGAATATATAGTGTTGCGTCTGAAAAAGTAAGAAAAAGAGCATAAGCTTAAATGCGTCAAATTTTAATTTACTTTGTAGTCATATATTTCTTTAAGTATTTATTTAATAAGGTAGTGATATCCTAGTAGTAATACTTTTGGGAAACCGAGTGAAGCGGGTGCAAATCCCTGGTCTCGCATCACTAATATTTTCATGTACAAATCATTTCCAACATGATTACTTCTATCATCATGATTATCTTACAGTGAAGGAAAACATGATGAGGAAACTTGTATGTCTGAGAGAACTTAGCAAATTTTCAAAAGACATGTGAAGGCCACCAACCCATACTTTGCCAGCGACGTTAAAAAGGGCTGAATACATACATTCATATATTTATATAATATTTAGATATCACAACAATCAAATTATTCCAACAAACAAATTATAAAATGTTTGCAGTACAGAATACAATAGCATCATCTTAAGAATCGGCCCGGCATTCAGATTTTCCATATAATAGGTCACCAAAGCTTTCCAACTATGACAAGCTCCCTCATTCGCGGATCGTGAAGCGAGATGGCGATTTAAAAAACAAGCAGTGGCCTCGGAATCCGGCTCTTGAATGTTTTGCCGACGGTCGCTTTGTCAGACATTGTTCGGGCCTTAATTTCGATGGCGGATCGAGTGGGCAAATGCCGAATATGATGCGCGACGCGAAAAAACTGTACTGGGATGAAATTAGCAGCTCTCTAGCGGGGTACGCGGAATTGGCGGGCGGTCGAGAAAACGAATGTACTGCGCATTGTTTTTACTAATTAGCAGAGCCGGTTGACTTGATGAGAGACTGGCGAGCCACTCTCGAACTTAGGACGTGTGCTATTATAACATCTTCGGAGGGTTTTAGTCGACAAATAAAAAGTATAATTAAAATTATTTTAATAAACAAGTCTAACGGCTCTTATTTATTTCATCAACATTGAATTAAAAGTATTTTCTTAACAGGGACGTTTTACATTGTTTGCCACGATCATAGTTCGGGACAGACAGGTTTGCATGAATAGCGGGATTAAATAATACCTTGCATAGACTCACTAATAACAGGATATTAGTTATTACAATAGGTACATATTGTTTTCTTGTACATTAAATAATCATCATGAATACTATCAAAAACCTGCGACGTTGTTTTTACATTGAAGTAATATACTAATAAGGTCAGGTATGATGAAGATATAAGATATTGAAAGTAAAATTCAAGTAAAATAAAATTTGAGTACTACGAGTAAATAATAATCAAATCAAGTTATTTCAAAATGTACTTACTATTTTATAATATTTATAGTAAAAAGTCTATATTATATTAAGAAAAGGAGACGATTGACAATATTTCGAATAATTATAATCATTTAAAATCAAATAACATTCTACAGCTTTACGTTCGCGGATTCAGCTATCGAGTCACATAAACGTGCTTTTAAGAATAGTACCACTGTTCACAATTAGCGGAGAACTAACGTACTTGTACGAGACAAAAAAGATATAATCGAATCGGATTGAGTCTTCTCCACCTTACCTCTTTCTTATTAAAGTCATAATATTATGTACTAGCAGGAAACGCGAGGAAAGCCCTAGGCTTTCCTCGCGTTTAAACTACAAAAAAGGGGAGTTCCCTTATGGGATGAATTTCGAAAAATGCTAAAACACGCATTTCTTTAGGAGTATTCTTTAATTGTGTTTCAAGTAATTCTGATAAGAAATATTTTTTTTAGTTGTTGTAGCCTATGTCACTCTCCAGCCCTCCAACTATCTCCACACAAAAAATCATTCCAATCCGTCAGGCTGTTTCAACGTGAATGAAAGACAAACAAACAAACAAACAAACAAACAAACAAACAAACAAACAAAAACACACTTTCACATTTATAATATTAGTATGGATTATGGGTTAGATTAAATTTACTTAAGATAATATCTATCCTTTTTAAATATAAATAAAAAGAGTATAGTTAAAAGCCGTTCTGATTATATATAAAAGCGATTACGTATGAAAATATAATCGGGCGAACAAATTGAAGTATATTAAAATCATTTCTTTGCTAGAGAACAGCTGATTTATGACTATAAAAAATTAACGACGTGTACTTATGTCATTTTACTACACTAGCTCAGTAGACAATAAGGTACTCTGGATAAATACTTCATAAAAAAGTACATAAATTGGCTCTAGAGCACATCAAAACTGTACTATCGGTTTAAGAGCTTAATTTATGGTCATATTTATATAAAGAGCAGAGTAAGTGTTCTTCTTTTAGAGTAATTACATTATAACAAAATTTAGAGTGATCCTTTATCTTTTAATTAAATTATTTCTTTACTAACGACTCACCCTCGCTTCGCTCGGGTTCATCCCTAGCTTGCTTTCCAATACACGCTTTCATCCCCACTTTTTAGCCTCTCCAGGGATGATTTCCGCGATCAAAAGTATCCTATTTCCTTCCCAGGGTCTCAAACTATCTTATTATCAAATTTCATCTAAATCGGTTTAGTAGATCCAGAGATTACCCCCTACACGAACACAAAACACACAAACTCACAATCTCACAAACTCACAAACTCACAAACTTTACCTCTTTATAATATTAGTATAGATATCTATTTTTGAAACTCTTATAATATGTGAAAATGCAAATTTTCTCTTGCGTGATAGATTTTTACCCGACTGCCGCAAAGCCAAGAGAGGGGTTATGTGTTTGACCTGTATTTATATGTATGTCCATGCGACCCTATGTAACCTCGTAATAACTAAACGGCTTAACCGATTTTGATGATTTATACGTCGTTCGATTCATTTTGATGACACTAGTGTCACAGGTAATTATATAGATATTATTAAAAATCAAAATGGAGCATATAATGAGCCAATTTGTGTCTTTGCGCCTTTTTTTCGTTCGAGTGGAGTATCAAAATACAGGTTTTTAGTAGGCAATTAGAAAAATATAAACAACTTATATGCTTAAAAGAGACTTGCAACGAATATTCGGTATATACGGCTACGTTTTTCCTATTCAGCCGAATACTGAATATCTAGATACTACTCAGCTGAATACCAAAGACTTAAGTAATCTGTTTGTTGTAATCAGATAATTGGTAAAATAACAATTTTGATATATTTTATAATAATATATTTTTCTTATAATCATTAAAGTAGTCATAGGTACACTATGAAGTTCTGTATTACAAAAATTAACCAAAAAACTATCAAGTTTTATATGCACTTGCATTATCGTAATTAAAATTTACAAGTGACAATCCCAGCTTCAGGAAAAAGACGCTCTCAATAAATACTATTTTCTGAAGCCAAACAAAAAAAAATACGACGATAAAAGTTTGCCTGTCGCCTGTTTGCCTTATATTCGGATATTCGGTCATAAAGTCCACCGAATAATCGGTATTCGGTGTATGGCCGAATATAGTACTATTTGTTGTATGTCTAGTTTAAAAGTAATTTAGAATAAGAAAATGTTAAATAAAATAAAAATTTCTCACTGACAAAAACTAAGAAGCTGTAAATAGAAAAACTTACGGTGAAGAAAAACATCGTGAGAAAACTTGCATGTATGAGGGAACCTAGCAAGTTTTCGAAATACAGGTGAAGTCTGTAAACCTGCACTTGGCCAGTGTGGTGGACTATAGCCTGACCCCCTCGTAGTGAAGGGAGGCCCGTGCCCAGCAGTGGGACGTTAAAAAGGGCGGAATACAATACATACAATACAAATAGAAAAAAAATAAAAAAAAATAAAAAACCCGACTGCGTAAAAAGCGAACTAAATATACCAGAACAAGTTGACGAAGGAACATAGTATTTATTGTTAGGTACGTTCGGGGATCGAAAATTATAGCACGTCTTTTACACTTCTGATGTTTTATTGCTCTTGGTTAACAAGAGTGACTTATGGAGATTCACTAACACACGCAGTATATGCACAGTTCTGATTAATTCAATCACTGAACACTAATTTCACCACTGGTTACACTTTCACTATGACTTCACTCCACTTTTTTCACTTTTTCACTTTTCCGTACTTCCTTCTCAGTCTTCACTTGACTTTAAAATTCAAATGATCGCTCGACACACTGCCGGCCTTTTTATATGCATAAACAAACATTCTAGTATTAGAAATTTCAGAACCTTTATAGTAATTTCAAAAGTTTTGTTCCTCTCTTACTTCTTACACAAGGCAATTTACGATTAACTTTCCGTTAGTAGCCGTATGTTGACAACTGTTTTAGGGTGTATAAAGCAAGCTTCAGACGTGCCTTTTTAATTATTATTTGTGGTGTAATGACGTTACAAATTCTTCACTACGCGACAGTATTATGCAATCGAAGACATACATGCTTTGCACTAGCTGCGAGTCTTGCTACGCGTATATATTCGTATGTCTCCAAAATTCAAATTCAAAATATTTTATTCAGCATTAAATTATTACAATTTTTTACTGAACGTCATGAGTCTACTACTCTACGTTCGTACTCCGACTACATAATACCATGTTCTTTCGTTAACTAGGTCTCATCTTTTTACTTCGCTTTTTATGCAGTAGAGTTTTTAAAGTGGGGGAAGTTTTGTTGGCTTTTAGTGGGTAGTATTGTCTTTTTTAGCCGGGGAGTCCCACGAAACCGTATGTATGTACGAAGGTAGTATGCGTAAATGCATTTCCCAACGTTAAAAAAAATGAAATAAATTAATTGATATTAGATACCATGAAGCTACATAAAAATGAAAAAAATATATAATAAAAGCTGCATACGTGATATTTGTATATTGTCAAAGTATCTAACTAATTCTAACAATTCTTAAATACTGTACATGTATTGCTAAACTTCACCTAACAATGCTGCAAAAGTCTATGTAATATACTTTTTTTTTTTTTTTTAATCTTTATTTTTAAAGGGGTTTGGTCACAAAGTGATCATGCCACCCCTATAGGAACAACTAAACATAAGGAATACAATTTCCAATAATCAACCTTATAAATAACATAAATTAAGTATTTCTATGTTTTAATCCGACTTGTACTACTTTATACAACATTCTTGACTGATTCGATATAGGATCGGCCAGAATGCTGTTAAAAGCTCCTATGTCTAATAAATTTATATTAAATCTCAATAAAAAAATTCTTCTTTCCGCTTCATTTCGGACAATGCCAATGATAATATAAAAAATAAAAAAAGAGAAAAAGTTGCTGACTTAATAATAGTTTTATGAATTTACTGCACTTTTTAATAGATGTGCCGACCTTCATATCGATTGCTATATAAAAACCATTCAACGGGCGAGGTGGTCATTTTGCTGAACTTGTATTAAAACCCGCTCAAGGGCATCATCGTCCTCCGTCTCTGAATTGCACATCTTACCTACAACACTTATCAGTTATGTTTTATTTTTTAAAGTCAAAAAGGCATTCGAATAAATAAGTTAAAATGTTTTATAATAAAACTGGTCTTATTAGCCCTTCTGAAACTCATCGTATTCATTTTAAACATTATAGAGTTTAAAAGAATCTCCAATACAATGGTATGAAATCAATTTGACTAAAAGAGAGTCAAGTGGTTTCACACTTTTTATTATACTCTACATTTACACAATATTTTAGTGCTAGAGGCAAATATTGAAGTACAAGCTTTGGATACATACCGTCGCGTCGTGCAATGAAACTACTTGAGCGGTCATCGCCCTGCCTTTAGATCTATGTTAAGATAATTGTATCAACAACAAGTAGGTGTAAGAACATGTGGAATCATCAAGCGGACCACGACTTAGACACAAAATACCTGACCTAATGTATTAATGATGTTTATAGTTTTACAAATTTTTGTTATAATTTTTATCTATATTAATAGTTATACGTGAATATTAGTATGAATAAGATAATAACCGTATAAACGACTTTCTAAAACTAAAATAAACTTTTGTAATTAATTTTTTTGCAGTAATATAATGCCCACTTTGGTAATTTAGTAGTACTTTTTTTTCCACTATCACTCTACTAGGTTTTCCTTGAAACTCAAAATTTGGGGCCCCATAAAGATTCTTCTTGCAAAGCCCAGTTAATCGGGTGAAATTGTAAATAAGAAAAGGTATGGATATCAGAAAAAATAGCTTATGTCTAACAGTTCAATACGCTTTAGTATATACAAAGAGATATCTAAAAAATTAAAACAATAGAGGAAACTTTTTGATCATCAATTTTCTTGGTCATCGCAATCATGAACAACGGGTAATCTTGAGCAATACGAAGAAACTGGTATTCATGTTATACCTAGAAGGACTGGTCAATGCCCTGTCTTGAAATTTGTGCAGAAAATTCATAACCTCTAGGCACACCGTAATAACGCTAGATGCACGTTTCTCTCGCGAAAAGTAGCACGAAGATTCTCGAACAAAGGGTATAAGGTACATTCTGATGCGATCGTCATGTACAACGCTCTACTTGTACAAAATAAATATAATTTAGAATATATGTCTATCTACAATATAAAAGTAAAGGCTGATATATTACATCAACCAATAAAAATTACTCCATTAAAATTTATAATGCAAAAAATTATAAAAAAATAATATTTCTTTCAACAAAATAAATAAGTAATTTATTTAAAAAAAAAACATGTAAACGATAAAACACTACATCCGTAATCGTAACTTTACAGTACAGTGGTCTAAAGATAATTCAATGTTTTAATTAACATTTTTACTATTTTCAGATCTGATAACATTCCTGTGAATAAAGTGTTTAATTGCGAAGAAGTACCTTGTAATAAAAACAAGTGCTAGAGACGATACTGTTATGGACGACAATTAGTTGAGGTAAATGTGAACAATAAGAATTAATAAAACTATACTAGCGATACTACCAATATAATAACTACTTAACATTTGTAGGTCCAACCTGATTGATAATTTTAAAACAAACTTAAGAAAACTAATTAGAATCATGAAGAAATGTATAATAACATAATCAAATAACTGTACATAATTTTCTCTTTTTAATAGTACATATATATTCTTATATTATGGATAAGATTTTGAAATTCGTTTGTACTAATACAGCGACTTCAAAAAAGGAGGAAGGTACTCAAATTCAGGTGTACCTATGTGTGTACCCTTTTTTCTATGTTTTACTCAATGTTTTCGCTAATTGTGAACCAATTATGTTTCTATTACGTTTTCTATGGGACCTCAAGGATAGTTTTTTTAATAGGGTCTTAGTTTGTCCTCAACAATATTAAAGAAACATTAGATTCATAATCATTTATACATAGGTAAGTCTCCTTTAAACAACTGTATATCTCGAGTAAATATCTATTAATTACGAGTAAATGCACAATAATACTAACTAAAAATAATAAAATAAAAAAATTACGGATTTTTTTATCTAATGATCTGTTTTACAAGTTTTTGAGTAAAATACGTAATTTTTGTAAATAAATTGAAAATGTATGCGCAATCTTCTTTCTATAAATGCATGATACATTCACGTGAATACTTTATTTCAGTTCTCACTATGTTAGTATTATTGATAATGTTGAAGTTATTTTAATAATAACGTGAATAATAAAATGAAATAAGTGAGTATTTAAATCTTCTTACCTCTTCATAGTCGAGTCTCGCTGTCAATGTGAATATTCCAGTTTGTGGGTTTAGAGAAAAGACATCGTTCGCCCAATCCGATATAACAGTATACGTGAGTTGAGCGTTCGGCCCTGAGTCCACATCGATAGCACCAACAGTCCCTACTATGGAACCCCGAGCTGTGTTTTCGGGTATGTCAAAAGAGTATGCACTTTCTTTAAAAACTGGTGGATTGTCATTGGTATCTGTAACCTGAAAAAGAATAAGAAGTCTCATAGATATAATTTAAACAAAAGCTTAATATTAGTAAAAGGTAAATAATTATCTATTAGTCATTCCCACGCATATTTCGAAACGTTTGTTTTCATTGTACTTTTAATATCGAGCTACAATAATTGAAGCAATGTGTAAAAGCTTTTATGACATGTTAGCGTCAAAAGACTAATATGGGCGTAAAGTAAAAATACCTCATATATGTCACAAAAAGTGTATAGTATACTACATAATATGTAGGTACGTAGGTACTGAAAATTAATATAATTCAGATGTGTGTGTGTGTGTGTGTTCCTAATTATTGTCCTTCATTCTCCCTAAATGGCTTTTTCAATTTTAATGAATATTTTCTTTATGTAGCTACAAAGTAACCTATATGGTTCTTATAAGTTCACCTGGATAGTTCTTAACTATAGTTAGACCCGGTGTAGTTGGAAGGTTCGACGTAGGTGGCGCTGTATGTCAAGATACATTTTTTTTAAATATTTCAACCGTACGAGATTTGTGACAGGAAAACCTCTGCCTACCGGGTCCGCTACTAATCTTTATATATATAACTAGCATTGCCCGCGGCTCCGCCCGCGTTCAGATGACCAAAAACTAAATTCTTAGGTGTTACATATTAGTATACTCTTACATTGCAGTTTTTGTATTTTTCCTCAGAAATAAGATATTTTCCCGCGGTAAAAAGTATCCTAGGATCGCGCGCTACATCGCCCGGTTTATATAGCTTGAGCAGGCGGTCGAGCGATGCGGGGCAGAGGGGATGGACTCGCCGTAGGCATCTCAATGCTCGCCAAGCATTAAAAATGTTTCGCTACTAATTACTTCTAACAACGATATCTCAAAAACTATTCATCTGATTGATTTAGTGTAAAGAGCAATTTTAATCTGCATTAAATGACTAAGCTAACTAAAATATTCATTTGGATAAGGATTAATACCGAACTAAAGAAAATAACTTTGAAAATAACGTAATGTTTTTAATTAAAAATGTTAACATAAAAGTGGTTATTGTAAGTCAACCGTAAGAGATAGAGATATGCTATCGCGGACTTTTTTGTAGCATTTTTATAGATTTTGAATTCTCTAGTACATTACTTAACTGTATCTTTGCTAGTTTACGCGGCGTTCGCGTGGAAAGTTCCCATTTGGCGAGATTTTTTGCGACCTCTTCAACATTTGTCGCCGTATTTCAGCTAATTTACATAAAAGCATAATAAATTATATACCTAAAACTTCCTCAAGAATTACTCTTTCTATTGTTGAAAACCGTATAAAAATCCGTTCAGTAGTTTTCGAGTTTATCGCGTACAGACAGACAGGAGGACAGAAAGACGCGGCCGGGGGACTTATTTTTATAATAAGTATAGATTCTTCTGTGAGTGTGTATGTCACTGAACTTCTCTCAAACGACTGGACCGATTTTGATGAAATTTTTTGTGTGTGTTCAAGGGGATCTGGGAATGGTTTAGATTCACAATTTGAATAATAATTTTCATCAAAAAAATTTAAAAAAAAATGTTTGAAATTTTCAAATTAAAGACGTGTAGACAGGACAACGTCTGTCGGGTCCGCTAGTATATACATAAAAAAATATAAAGTACTCAAATCTATATTTCTACTTTTTTATTTTAAATATCATTTATATTGAAACTAACCTGGACAATGATTGTAACATCTGTAAACTGCATTCCATCATCAGCTCTTATTAAGACCTGGTATTCTGAAATGGTTTCGCGGTCAAGTGGTTCTTTCAACGTTAGCTGACCATTTTGAGCGTTTAAAGAGAAAGGTGTAGACTCTTCTGTTTGTATACTATACGTAATAGTGCCTATTGTGTCGGGATCCTCTGCAACAATTGTTGCGATAAGTTGTCCAGGCGCTAAATCTTCCGAAGCTAGATACGCCGGAGGTATGTTCTTAAACTCCGGCGGACTGTCATTCTTATCCAAAATCACGACTTCAACCTGTAAACGAAATAATTAAGCATATTAAAAAAATATTCAAGGCAGATGCTACAGTTATTTGTCGAACAGGTTTATACGAGCAAAACAAAGTAAACTATTGCAACAATATCGCATTTAAGCAGGCTTCGACTTAACAAAACAGTCCCGAGTCAGGACGTCTGATGTTTTATTTATAACACTAGCAGAAAATCGGCCACTTTAACACAGTATAAGAACACGAAACAAAATTAATAATTCTAAAAATGCAGCCTGCGAGCGATTGTCTCGACAAATGTGTGTCTCTACTGACTGACAGAATGATAAAATATGCTATGGGTCATATCATATTATGGATCAAAATTTCTTTTTTTTAAATAATACGTAAATTCGTTTCGTAATTTGACGTTTGATGTTTTATATGTGTACCTTTGCATATTATTCTGTAAAAAGATTTTAAATATATTTTCGTGTATTAAAGAAACAACTAGTTTTTTTCTTTAATATAATATATTCATATACTAAGTCTGACATTATTCAGTAAGCTTAAAAACTTATACAATTTAGTTCTCGCTTAAGATAAGATGATTTAGATAAGGTTTATGAAATTAGAAACGAGCTTTACAAATGCAGTCGGAGAACGTTTACAAAAAGCTGTTCGAATAAAACTCGACAAGTCAACAAAGGGACAAGGGAGTGAAAGACTTAAACCACCATAGTTTCGTTATACGTTGAAGTAAAAAGAATTCAGTGTACATTGATCGGAGCTGTCACAGATAAGAAGCCGATTGTCGAAAGTTCTCTGCCTTCGACGAGGAGAAGCTGCGCATTTGTTATGATGACTCAATCTTTTCTTTGTGTTCCTACGAGGGTGCCGTCACAACACCAAGCGTAGAAATATTATGTAGACGCCTACGATATTTTACGTAAGAGAAGCAGCAATTAACGCTGATTGTACAGCCGTATCAGTCAAAGAAATAAATTGAAATGTGTTAATAAAATTTATTGTTCAAAAAATAAGAAAGCCTGAGAATATTTAAGACCGATTGTAAACATTAGGTGCTTTATTGATATTGCGGCACAAATTCTCATCGCACGTATTAGTTTGTGAACAGTAATAGAATACGGAAATGATGGTGTACTAATTGTATTAATGAACATGTATTGTTATAGAAGAGGAACTTTTCTTTAAAAGAATATAAAACAAAAAAAATAGTATAGAAAACATTACATGTTCTCCGACTTTTGTTATTGGACCCCCTAGAGTTCATGTTTGAAGTAATCGATTAAGGGAAGAGAAATGACAAGACGTCGGTTTTCTCGAAACAACGATTAATCAAGTTTTGATAATTGATAGAGGTAAGCTACTAGATTAATTTGAAATACCGAACGTTTGTTTAAGCTCACGATTAAATAATGATCCATGCATTCAAAACTTACGTAATATGTGTATTGAAAATCAGGTCTTTAATCAAATACATTGCAAAGATTGATAGTTAATTAAACTACATTTATTAAAGATCTGGTTGAAATTTTTTTACTAATGAGTGACTTACTAATAAGGGGTTAATTATTATGTATTCGAAGTTAATGTTATTAATGTTATGGAATTTCTACAATATACCTATCTGAAGTCACGAGATAAATACTACCTTTATTATATAATATTACCTTTATTTAAGTGAATAAATCTAACTAAAAAAAACTATTACTTCGAATATACGTTTTAATACAATAAAATTAGTGAATTTTTCAGGATGTCAGAAAATTTTAGATACGTTACGCTTGAAATAAAAAAATAATAATTAATGAGGCACAGCGTATTGTAAGTTCTTTGTAGTTTATTTCTTGTTACCGATCGTGTTCCTGCAGATCGCTTTGGGACCAAAAAAATGACCTCACAATTTTGTCGTTTTGGTGCCATGCAATGTAAATTCGGACATCAATCATTCTAGTCATTTACCTCAAAAATTTCAACGTCACGCCTTGATTGCCTCTTCCCATTTTTATATAATTTCACCTTGTACCTCCAATTTCAAAGGAGGAGATATTTAGTTACTATGGTGATCGCAAAGTAATTTATCATTTTGCAAAATTGATTGTGCTTTTGATATAATACACGTCTAATTTGTGTTCAAGCAAGTAGATATAATAAAAATAAACTACATAGGTAGGTAATATTTGATCTTATGCCGCATTGTATATATGTATTGCTTTGTTTAGTGCCAGGTACAACGACTTCATAAAATTAATTATGTACAAATGTATTGTATATTTATAATAATGTTTTAATGGTAGTTAATTATATATTGAGATTAATTCAAAACCGAATGGTTGAGGCTGTCGGGGATATGATGTCGCTGTTTGGAACTAATCTATAACCTACGTTTAGTTCGCCATGACCGTAGCCGCTATAGCTTTCGGACTTCCCACAATTGTGAAGTTTATTAATTTTTTGCATTAATTGTAGTTCTTGTATCAAGAATACATACATTAATATTTTATCAATATAGTTCAAAATATTTACTTTAAAAATTTAACGATTATAAAGCGACCACACATGTAGCTAGAATTATAACGTTGCATAACATACAGATCCAACGAGAACGTTTAATAAATAATGTTTGTAATAAGTAAGAAACAATCGTTAAACTAAAACCTTAGTATTTAAGTAACGTAAAAGCTAAAGCAATTTTAATCTTAGTAATTAAATTACTGGTAATAAAATAAGTAACTTCTAGAACTTAAGTGAGCTTCTATGATGTGTTATTGAACAGACCTATGACATAATCTGTGTTATGAAAAATATACATTTTGATAATATAAATAAAGTCGTTAATTTTTTACTTTTTTAAAGTACCTATTAGTTTTATACAGAAGTAGAATGGATAACCATATTAAATTAAATATTATTAAATAATATATATCCATACTTCAATACTAATATTACTTGAATCTATATTAATATTATAAATGTGAGGGTTTGTGAGATCTAAATCTGGATGAAATTTGGCACAGAGATAGATTATAGTCTGGAATAGCATATAGGTTACTTTTTATGGAAAAAAAATACGGAAAAGTGTACGGTTCTCGTAGGATAGATTTGTTTTTGTTGATTTTGTCAAGGGACCAACCCGAAGCGAAGTGGGGGAGAGTCGTTAATATTACAAATATAAAAGTGTGTTTGTATGTTTTATAGTCTGTTTGTCCTTCTTTCGCGTCGAAACAGAGTGACGGACTGGCGTGATTTTTTGTATGAAGATATTTGGAGGGCTGGAGAGTGACATGGACTACGTTTTACTACGGTAGGTTATTTCATTCCGACGGAAAACACATTATAATATAACCCACAACAACTTATTATATATAGTCTATCTATTCCGTACTAATAGTTAAAACGAATCCGAGCGAAGTGAGGTTGAGTCGCTAGTACCTATATAATAATTAAATGCTGTTCGTTTGTAAAGAAATTACTTGAGAAATTGATTTGACGTAATTTATTTATCAAAATGTTTGTAGTAACGTGCAATTGAGATTTTTAAACGAAAAGATTAGAATATGTCTTTGAACTTTGGACTCAAAGATTATAAACTTTATTGAACTTTAAACATGACTACGTCTGGCGGTCAGCTAGTTAAATAATAAATATTTAAAATATGTTTATTCTCAATAAAGCTTGCAGACTTTATATGTTACATGTTAGCAATTAGATGTTACATTAGTATGCGAGCGCGCAATCCGCCCACGTAGCTCGATATTCGATAGATATACGTTAATACGTTAATTATACACAAAAATACACCGGATAAAGTGCTTCGATAAGAGAAGATGCAATTCACATCGCCTTTAGAATTATTGGGCGTTTTGCCGATCTTTAGGTGTTCACATTTTATAGAGTCTACACATAAACTAATATATAAATATTGTTTTTTTGTTTCTACGAACGCGCTAATCTATGAAACTACAAATACGATTTGAATTTTATAGCCTATTTATTGAAATAGGCTTATCTATATTAGGGATGTATGGACCTCTGTAAACGTAACCGAAACTATCGGATATCAAAAATAAAAATGTATTCGGATTCGGTTGCGGTTTCCGAAACCGTATTAATCTGATATAAAAGTTTTGAATAATTTCGGATAGGGGCGCAGTCAAAATGAGACACGTTATGACTTATGACAGGTTCTCGTCCGGCCGAACCAACACACTAGCCACGCGCGTCCTTTCCAATTTGCATTGTTTAGATATTTTTTGTTATTTCTATTGTTTAGCTATATGAATGCAGAATATTGTAGTTCCAAATGATACTTCAGAAATAAATTTAAATCATTACCTATTTGTATTTTCCTTTTATAATCTCTAAAAATATAATTTTCGATAACTGTCGAAAACTATCGTATATTCCGAAATACTTTATATCCGTAACCGTATCTGGAACCGGTATAATGTTATTCATATATCCGTATCAATATATTATTATATTATCCGTATTCATAGATCCGAAATCTCATATCCGTAACACCCCCGATCTATATATATACCACAACACTTAGAAGCACTTATGTATAGGTACATAAAGGAACAATGCGGGCAGACCTACAAAGAAATACTAGTCGTTTATATGTATAATATTATATTTATTTTATAAGCCTACTAATTTATTATTGATATTTACAGAAGGAAACAAAAAATCATAAAAATTATAAAATGTTAGTAGGTTCTTATGTACATAGATGTATAATGTGATGCATTTAAACGCTTCCGTTTATGTCTCCGACGAAATATTTAAAACTATACAATATTATAGTGCTATACTATTTATTAAGTACATTAAGGTCATATATGATACCTATCTATCTTTTTACACTAAAAATGAGAACAAATTATCTGAATCAGTTTACTGACCATATTGCAGCTTACAGCAAAATTAGGTAAGGTTTTTTATTTCATTCTCCTCAAGTAAAATCTGTCCATTCAGTGGTATATGATTCTATATAATGCTTATTATTATTAGTATTCATGTAAGGATTGTGCCTCGCAGGCAAGCACGCAGCACTCTCAATTTCTCCTAAATTCGCAACCTGCGGGCATTATCTTCGTATTACTGTTTGATCGATAGTATAATTTTATTATAACAAGTATCCCACATAATTTAATTTTTTTTCTAAATATTTGTAATGCTATTAAAAAATAAAATTCAGTACATACTGAAAAACACAAATAAGCAATAAAAAATATATTTTTATAATATTTTATATTTTTATTACTAAATGATTAATTCTGATTTTGTGGATAAAAATATTTTCATATAAATATCAAGTGCTTTCACTCATACAACATCAGAAAGATATCTATGAAATATAGCTTCAGATTACAAATTCATGAACAAAACTTAACCGTTATTAGCTTATACAGAAAATAATAATAACAATCCATAGGTCCATATATATTGTTTAAGTGAAACAGATAGCAGGAAAGCTTCTAATGTCTTGCCGTAAACAATATTCACGGTCTCCGGGCAAATAAATGAAGTACACGAACGAAAATCACGAGTTCAGAATTTTTCAACGTCGTCCTCGGATCGAGATCTGCGCGGGCGCTGCGGCGAATACAAAGCGGTTAACGATTAACGAACTCAAACTAAATGAGAGCATGTCATTTTTGTTTTACGTTGTTTGTTATTTGATTGTGATAACTACACATTTCACAGCGATGTTCATATTTCTTTACTTTAGTTATATTAAAGCGGTTCACCAATATAAAATCGGCTAACACCATATTGTAGTAGGTAGAAAACACTCTCACGTACCTACGATTATTTCAGCATATTTATTTCAAGTACGTAGGTGTATTCTGTATAAGTTATGATATTGGTAATGATAGGACTCTTACATAGTATTAACGCTATTGATGAGTCATGTCTACGGAATTATAATAAATGTACCTTTCTTATTCTTATCTAGAATTATCGATTATGGATAAATCTCGAGTCATCGCGGCGAAAACAATGGCAATATTAACAAAAGAATTACAACGTCTGCTGCCAAAACGGTATTATAGCTTACAGGTGGTTCTGGTTTCTAGCGATTTATCAGTGGGCGATAAAACCGTTGAGATAATGGTCGACACCCGCCCCGTACGGTGTCGCAACTCGCCGATTTCGGCCCGTCGTGGTCGCTCATCTCTAACGATGGAGCGATAATTAAGATCAGACGTCAGCATTATTTACGCCCGCAGCATCCCGCCGACCCGACCGACTCGGTCACGACTTTTTCCTTGTCAGGCAATACTATTGTTGCTTACTCGTGTCCAGCCCGACTTAGAAGCGGGATTTCATATTTTTCATCTTTAATAGCAATGTCATGAAACGACTTGCATTTACTAAGAGTATTCTTGTATAACAATATTCTTAAGTACTAATATCGTAAGTGTAAAAGTGCGTATCGTGTAAGAGTGATTTGTAATGGCAAATGAGGTTAAAAATAACTAGCGACTCACCCTCGCTTCGCTCGGGTTCGTCCTTGATTGCTTGATTCCCCATACAAAATTTCATCCCTATTATCACCCGCTTAAGGGATGATTTCCGGGATAAAAAATACCCTATGTCCTTCCCAGGGTCTTAAACTATCTTCTTACCTTAATTTATCTAAATCGGTTCTGTAGATCCAGAGATGACAAACAAACACAAACTTTACCTCTTTATAATATTAATATAGATAATGTCTGTGTAATAAAAAGGTCTTAAAATTATTTTTTACAAATTTTACGTAAAAAATCTAATATTTATATCAAACTTTCTATATTACTTCATCACTTGACCAATTTTGTGAAAAGAAAAGGGAAGGTAATAAATAAAGAATACTTTTTCCCTATTCAAACTAGTGATTTGGTAAACATTACATTTCGATTAAGATACTTTTAATATAACAAACTGAAATATGTTAATTGAGTATATGCAAGGGACCAAAAGCGAACTAATGGTAACAAAGCCAAGAATCTAATCACCGGTCAATTTCCCACGAATTGCGTATTATCACGTCGGAGGTTTTAGATATGTATCTACGCGTAAATTGAATAATAAATACCTTTTTCGTAGTGGCTGGTATTGTGACAGCGTTGAAATTAATGCTTTATCTAAATGCTAACTAGTTTCAGGTTATTACTCATTCAACGCTTAGTTATGGCGCTTTGTTTGAGTCCGAAGACCGCTAGTACATTGAACGAGTCCGCCCCTTACGTAATATATTTGGCGCCAAATACTAGAATTGCTCATTTCAATATAAAGATTTCATGACATTTTTTTAAAATTCATAAAGTGTAAAGAGTTATAAAAATCCTCTTCCTTCTGTATTAAAAGATAAAAAAATGAGGATAACTTTTGAATAGATTTTTTTATACTAACTTTAATACATTTCAATACATTTTTTATAGCAAAAAATATTAATTTTAAATTTATTT